GTTTTGTGTGTGTCCAAACTTTTTTTGTTTGTTTTTTTTTCTGAAAAGCATAAAAAACCGGCATGACACGTATCTTGAAATCTGTAGAATTCAGTTTTTCCCATCACCATTATCACAGAATTTCAGACTGACTGAAATTCAATATGGATCTTTAGAAAAACTTTTAGTCATTTTTTTCATCGTACGAATGTTCCGATTTCATGATCCAATCATATGTATGTGTGAGGTGTGTGTGTGTGTATGTGTGTTTTTGATTTAATTTCATTTTAATAGCTCTTTGCTTTGCTGCTCTATCGATTATTATCAATGGCCATTTGATTCGTTGGGATTCTTTTTCTTTGAATTTCTTTGCTTTTTCTCTCTTCTTTTCTCAGTTCTTTGGATCAATTTCAGTTTTTTTTTTGTTCGTTGTTTTGTAAGGTCCAATTTTTCTTTTTTTTTCTCTATCAAAACTAAAATTGAGATGCTATTGGCTGCCAATTATTGCCCACTTAATGTCGTTTTTTGACTTGGACTTGGTTTTTTCTTTTCTTCATTTGTTGTTATATTGTCTGCTATTCACTATTTTTTTCTGTTGATTTGTTCAGTTTTCTTTGGATTTTTTCTCTTTCTCTGATTCTTTGAACAACGGCAGGAAGCAAAAGTTGTTAGTGATAATGGTGAGCTCCTTTATTTGTTGTCGAACCAGATGATTGAATGAATCGTAGTTGAAAAGCAAAAAAGATTTCGTTTTTTCTTTTTACAAAAGCTTTTCAAATTCAGGTTTTCAGAATTCAATGATTTCAATCACCCATGCACACGCACAAAATGATCGAATCACCATCATCATTCCTGAATTCCTTAAAAAAAAAACTCTGATCCTCGGGTATTTCATGGCCGCACGTGTCTTTCGGTCCCAAATCGTTACACTTGCACACACACACACACACACACACTCAATGAAAAATTGAGTTTCTTTTGTTTTTTTCCATTGAAATGAATGAATGATTTCGGCTAGCATATATGATGATGATGATGATGAGTGGGCAGACAGATTGCTCACTTTCACACACAGAAACAGAAACACTGACTACTGTTTTTCCACCATTCAAACGGATTCCAAACAAAAAAAAATCTTTTCGATTTCATCAGAATAACTTGTGTGTGTGTAATGTTATTCTTTTCGTTTAGTTGGTTAAATGAGTGCGTGAATGTGATTTTGATGTTCACGAACATTGAATGTGAATGATGATGATGCTTCTGCTGCTGAAAATGATTGCCCAATTCATTCTGTTTGGCCCAGTCTTATTATTATTACAATGTGATCCTGTAAAAAAGGATACAAACGTGTGTATGAAATGAGATGCTCTGTTGCTGCTGATTTTTTTCAATGGTTGCTTGAATGTTAATGTTGCTTGATTCCATTAATTAACGTTGTTTCGGAAAAAAAACTCTGAATCAAATTAGCTGTTTGGTATTTTCTTCTACAACGTACACTATTTGTTGTTATTGTAAATGAGTTATTTTCTCGATGATTTCGTGCATTGCATGAATTTTCCTCTTTGGAAAAGAAAAACCAGAATTCTTTTGGTCTATTTATCATCTGTTTAGTTCCTGCTTCTTTGGCTGTATCAGCTAAATGTCTGTGTGTTGGTTGGTTAAAAGCATCCACCATCTATATCTCAGACTCAAACTTGATTCAGGTCTTTGATCTTTCTTTTACTTTTAATTTTTCGTACAGTCAATGATATCATCATCTTAGCAGCAGCAGAAAAAAGTTCTTTTGGATAATCAAATTAAAAGAATCTTTGAGCTCGCTAAACTGACACATTTTTGTTTTCGAAAAAATTTTGTCCCATTTTCATACCAGCAAAAAAAAAAAAAAAAATGAAAACCACCCCCAAATTGACAAAACTTTTTTTTCCTGGTTTTTTCTTTTGTTCTCATCACGTCTAACTCTAATGGGCGGTGGTGTATGTGTATGCTTATGTCATGATATCTGACACGATAAGATGATTTTTCAAATGTTTAGATTCTATGGAATTTCTACATTTTTTTCTTTACATTTCTAAAATCACTGCAATGAATATTGGAGACAGATCGACCAAATGAAAAAATGAAAGAATCACACAACCATCCTCAGTGATCATTGGAAAGCCATAATTAAATTTCATAACAATCATACGTCATATTTCTTCTTCTTTTTTTTGAAATCCGATTAAAGCGAACGACCAAAATCATCACAAATTCATTTATAATGTTTTCCCTTTCAATTTGACTTTGAAAAAGTATACAATTTTGAAGATTGAATTTCATTCATTCATTTGTATGGAGAGAAATTAAATGATGATGATGATGATGATGGAAACATCACTTGTGATGTAATAATTTCTTGCTTGATGATGAAAATGATAATGCTTTCGCGTTTTGGATCGATTCATTTTTCGGGACGATGATGAATATGGTGTGGTATGAATCCTTTTTTGCTCTGCATCATTGCTGCCACCCTTATCATCATTAGTTTCATTCTGGTCCTGGAATGATGATGATGAAAAACAGACGGAATTTTTGATTTTTATTTTTTTCATGATGATGCACGTGCCACGTTCATATTGTTCACCAGAATGATTACGCAATACATACACACATCAATAAATCACATTTTGCTAATGATGAGGTTTTTGGCTTTTTCGAATATTTCAATCCTTTCGCACTACCATCATGTTGGATACTGGGATTTTTGCAATGATTTACGACTCGATTCATGAATTTGCTATCCATGTGAAATATCCATTTTTATTGCAAATATGGATGAACAGAATCGGAAAACGACAACGACGGCGACGACGATGATGAAGAAATGAAAAAGAAATTTGCATTCAAATTGAGTTTCAACACATGGATTCACCGCAACAACAACAACACTGATGATAGAATAGAACGTTTTATTTCTGAATGAATGCATGTGAAATAAAAAACGACGAATTATGATTCGTTTCGATTTATCGAATGGATGGATTTATTTATGAAATTTTCGGAATCACAATCAACAAAAGACGAAAGAATAGGAAATAGCCTGTGTGTGTGTGTGTGCGTGTATGATTATTTGGACAAATAAATTTTGTCTTTCGTCGATTGTTCCAAAGAAATGTTTATTTATTCGCTTTGAATTTTTTATTTGAAGATTTTTATTATCATATATTCAAAGAGAGAGAGAGAGAGAAAGGCTGATTTGTGATTCATTTTGTCACGGCTATGTGGTTTTTTATTTTTCGATTTGAATTCTTATTGTTCAATTTCTTAGAGCAAATGACTTTACTTGTGTGCATGTCGTCATGAATTTTTTTTGGCCTCTGGCTTTTACATACAAATTACATCCTGTTCTCTCTCTCTTACTCTCGACGATGAAATGAATCTCATCATCCAGTTTTTTTCCTCAAATGTCAATTTTATTATCCGATTCTAATCACATTGCAAATTTTTTTTTGTCAAATTCTCATTTTCGTTACAAAAAAAGATCTAATTTATTAAATTTACAAATTCTGCAATCTATTGACTTGTATTTGATGCAAGAAATTCTACTGTTATTTTCAGAAATTTCATCGAATAGATGGATAGATGGATTGGTGGTGGATTGCTATAATAAATAGCAAAATACACTGGTTCGCAAATATGGCCAATAAAGCTTCAATGTCGTTTATTATTATTGATGCATTGCTTTTGCCTGCTTGCCTGTCTGGCTGTATCGAGTATAACGAATCCATTGTATTTTCTGAAATCATTTTTACGGCCAAATAGCATCATTGCGTGAGTTTTTTCTACCACCACCACCACCCCGAAAAAAACACATCAACAACCAAGATGATGATGATGGAAAGAAAAAAGTTTTTTCTTCTTTCCATCGTTCACACGCCAGAATAATAAAGACATTCTATAGTTCTATGCAATGATGATGATGATGATGATGATTATGACTGAATAACTGAACTGAATGATTGACCTAGTAAACGTTAAATGAAAATGGAAAGTAAAGTCAGAAAAAATGGGTAAATGGCTTTGTTGTTGTTGCAAAGAAAATAATTTGCTTATTGTCGTCCATAACCATTTGCTTTTGATGTGTTTTTCTATTCTGGAATTAGGTTTTTTCGTTTTTGTACAACATTGTTTTTACCATTGATTTGGATCAATCTGCCCTGCATGTGAACGAAAACTTTTTTATAATACGATTCATGTGTATGTGACTATGTAACTGTCATTCTATCCGTAGAGGTCAAATGTGGTTAATGGACCACCATCATTATTTGACCACAACAATAATCAATGATAATATGCAGATCATCACAGAAGAAAAATGAAAAAAAACAATTTCCTTAAAAGTAAATGTGATCATTTACATCTCTTTATCTCATTATCATTTCTCACCATCAATATTATTATTTGGCGGATGTACCGAAAAGCTATCGGTTATTGTCTGTGATAATTAAACAAGTAAATCCCAAAGAAGATGTTGCCATCAATCCGGTGGAAAATATTTTATTGAAATATCCGAAAACAACCGAAAATAAATGGTCATACATTTGTATTAGTTGGTGAAACTTTTAATCTCATCTTTTTTTTTGGTTTCGTTTTGTTTTGTTTCGCCCATTTGAAGAAATTCTCGCCTAAAACAATAATGATGATGATGATGATATGGCAATCAATTTTCGTTTTTGTTTTTTTTTGTTGTAGTTTTTATTGTTATTGTCTATTGTCGAATATTTATTGTCGATTTATCGATTTATATCGGGATGTGTCATCACCATTATCGTTTACACTTTCTTTTTGTTGTTGTTGTTGTGGCTAGTGATGATGATGATGATGATGTTGCTTTTGTTTTATAAAACGACAAACAATTTGATTGTTTGTTCCGGGTTTGTCTTTTTTTTTATTTACGGGTTGTTTTTGGTTCATTTTTTCGCAAAACATTTTCCCATTCTTATGATTGATTTGTTTATTTTCATTTTTTTTTCTCTTATTTATAGTCGAAGCCCAAATTACTCATCATCAATATTTTAAAATAACACCACAAACCGAAGTAAATGTGATTGAAGGTAGTACAGTGGTACTACAATGTGTTGTTGGCAATCAACGTGGTCCAGTGCAATGGGCCAAAGATGGTTTCGTTCTGGGTTATGATCGTAATATACCAGGTTTTCCACGTTATTCAATGGTTGGTGATGCTAGCCTTGGTATACATAATTTACGTATCATGGATGCACGTAATGAAGATAATGGTGAATTTCAATGTCAGGTAAGTGTCGCTAAAAACAGCGAAAAATTGAATCATCTTATCCAATTTTTTTTCCGCAGGTTGGTCCAGGCGGCAAAAACTATGCTCCAATACGAGCTACCTCAAAAGTTACCGTACTAAGTGAGTATATATAGTCCACATATTCTGTTTTTTTTTTTTTTTTGTTGGAAAAATACGGTCGATTCACCCACTGTATCTGTGCTCACACAACACACACACACACACACCCAAGCAGGAAGCCAGCTTTTTTGTCATCCTTTTTTTATTCAATATATCGTCCATGTGTATCGTGTCTGTGTTTGTCTCGTTTCATTTAATTTAATTATTATTTTAAATTTTTTTCAGTTTTTTTTCCAGTTTAGCATGGATGACGAATAGTTTCATAGACATAGATAAAAAATGAAAAGTCTAATGAAATCTAATTATTTTCATATCACACACGCACACACATGATCCGAATAAAATGAATAAACATCTAATGATGTCACTTGTGCACATCAACCAGACAATTTTCAAAAAAAAACCTAAAAGCATCATTTGATCATCAGGAACGGTAATTGGCTACCATGAATGAATGAATGAATAAATGACAGTGGTGAAAAATCATCAGATTTTCCAATTTTTTGCATCAAAATTTTACCAAAACAAATCCAGACCGAATTATTTAACATTCTAGTTCCATAGGTGCCACTGGTAGTGAAAAGAGATTGAGATTTCTCGAAAACCAACGAAAAAATAAATGATTGCCAGTTAGTTTTGTTTCTTGCTTGCAGATCTGTGTCTGTATGTGTGTGTGTGTTTGCCCGGTTTATTTCCAGTCATTGATTTCGGAGATATTTCAAGTTTCTTCGACCATAGATGTTATTTCTCGATAATGGTAATAATTAGTACGTCAATATTAATCAAAAATTCTACGATAATAAATTCAGTGATTCGATCAACCAAAAATATCAAAATCAAAATCATTTTCCCAATCTATAAACCTAAATATAATGATAATGATAATAATCAGTTGGCAACAAGCAAAGTGCACATTTCTAGAACAAAATGATAAATTCCATTGATATTTTCATTACAAATCACTTTTTTTTCTTTATGGTTCCTGGATCGATTCCAAGATAATGATAGAAAAGGTCGAAGATGATTATTATGTGATGCTTAAATTGTCTGTTTTATTTCTTTTTCGTTTTGTGGATCGATCATTCATCAATTATTTTCTCTTTTTTCAGAAAATAAACTTTTTTTGTTTTAAATTTTAATTTAATTTAAATTTATTTTTCTTCTTTTTCCTCTTTTATCGATTAAATGTAGTACCACCAACTTCGATTGAAATTGTTACGCCATTAAAAGGTAAAAGTTTAACGAAAAATTCATCAAATGTTGAACTGCGGGAAGGCGGTAGTGTAACCATTGAATGTTTGGTTACGGGTGGTAAGCCACCAGCTCAAATTAAATGGTTCCGTAAAAATGTCGAGCTTCGTCCAGGTATGATGTTTTTTCTCCAAGTTGTTATAGTTACACTACATGAAATCATTGTCATTTGATTCATAATAGAAATGGGCACCAATCCTGAAACAACAACCGTGACGACTACATTGGTGGATTCCAATAGTATACAGGAAATCGAATCGGTTGTTTATACAAGTAAATCAAAAATAACCGTATCCGGTAATGCAGAAGATAACGGAGTACCATATAAATGTGAAGCCGTCCATCCAGCCTTAACTAATAGCCGTCCAATGCGTCGTACAATATCATTATCTGTACTATATCCACCGGGTGAGCCAGAAATCACTGGCTATACCGAGGGCCAAAATCTTAAAGTTGGTGATACATTAAAATTGGATTGCCGTGCACGTGGTGGTAATCCATTAGCACAATTAGTTTGGTTCCGTAATGATGAACAGATTGATTTTTCCTATACAACTGTTGCTGAAAAATATTCTGTGAATGTAATGCAATTCAATGTTGAAGCGCGTGATAATAATGCCGTCTATCGTTGTGTGTCATCATCACCAATTATGGAACGTTCCATTAGTAAAGAAATTAAATTACAAGTTTATTTTGGTCCTTCGAAACTGTCAATTACATCCGTGAAAGATGTTAAAGCCGGTGATGTTGTATCCGTCAGTTGTCGCACTGAACCATCGAATCCTGCTGCACAAATCAGTTGGGTAGTGGATGGCCGTCCAATTATTCACAATAGTACTGTTGAATCGGCTAAAGGTGGTGGATTTATAACTACGGCCAACATAACAATCACAATCACCAATCAGGTATGTCTATTCTTTTTTCAAAAAATTAACGAACAAAAAAACCAAACCAAATTATTCAATCGTTTGAGTTCACACACACACACACAATAATATTGCATCGGATTTTCTTATTATTTTCATTCTCGATTGAATCGTAATCTTGGAAACATTTTATTCATTTGACGATTTAAAAAAATAATGATGGCGGCTTTCTAATGTCAACATAGCGAAGATTATGTATTAAGAAGAAAAAAATGAAAGAATCAACCAATTGAACGAAATGAATCAGAATCTGTCAGAATTCTGGGCTTCAGTCAGATTAATTTTCTTATTTTTTCTCTTCCTCTGTGAGCATCATCATCTTATTTCGAGATATTCCGCCTGTTTGCCTGTCTCTTGTCTTTCTTTTCTTTCACTAATTAAAAACCTTTTGATGATAATGATGATGCAACCATCATTGTGCTTAAATGACAACATTTTGTTCAATGTTTCTCACAGACTAATAATAATGATGATGATGACAAGAGAGATTTTGTTGACGACGACGACGACGGCGGCCACCAAAGAAAGAGAGAATAACAAGATAGAAACAAATTCATGATGAAACGAAATAGCTTGACTTAGAAATGAAAAAAAAATCGAAGACGCCCTTAACCATATGTGTGTGTGTGTGTGTGTGTGTGTGCACGAATATTAGTCATATGAATCTTGCCCGAATTAATGAATCTTCTTCTTCAAAAAGAATTCCTTTTGGCCATATAATATAGTTATTGCTCTGATTTTTTTTTGGCTTCTAGTTTGGGTTCAGTTTCTTACTTATAATTACATTATTAATGAAGCTTTAATTGAAAACAAATGATATGGATAGATGTAAGCTGAATCTTGTTTTGTGTCATTGAGGTAAAAGCTGAGCTACTTGAATTATTCTCATTCGGACACTATTTCTTTATAAAGAAAAATTCTTGCATTTTTGAATTATTGCAATCAAGTTGGCGATTTTCCGCATTAATTTTGATGATGATGATCAAAATGACCATTTTCAATATCCTAATCATTTTCTTGATTGCAACAATCATTTATTTGAAATGAATGCAATTCATTTTGATTCTTCTTGAATTTGAAATTTTTGTTTTGGGTTGTTGAAAATAACCAATAATGTTTGCCGACCAATCACATTCGATTGCTTAAATCTTTTTTTTTCTTTTTGCTTGCTTATTTTCGACAAATGGTTTTTGTTTTAGTGTTTTTTTTTGCATCCTCGACTTGTTTCATTGGAATTTTTTTCGCCATAATCAAATTGAATGTATTTTTGTTCTTGCTTCTGCTGCTGGCTGTAATGACAATCCGGAAAAGAAAATCAGCTTTGCTTAAAAATTTGAATTCAATTTGGATCCATGGATTTAAATTGTTCCAGAAAAATTTTGATTGTTTTTTTTCATTATAATTCAATTAAATTCAATTTTTGTATGGCGAGAAAGAAATTGGCTGAACAAAACAAAAACAGAAAAACAAAGAAAAAGTTTTTTACCCCTTCATTTTTCGTTCACTGTGTTTATGTGTTTGTGTTTTATAATGATTTTCATTTCATTACAATTTTCATAATTTTTTGCAACATTCATTCCTCTGGTTTTACAATCCATGTGATGTAATATAATGTAATTTTGATACTTTTACGATCCCAATTCTATTCTCTTGTTGTTTTTGTTGTTCATTTTGACATTTGGACTCTGGTATGAAAACAACAACAACAACAACGCAACTGGGCACTTTTGGGAATTCTGTCCATTCTCTAAACTATTACATGAATAAAATGTTGAAAATTAATTGCCACACATACACACACACACACACACACACAAAACATCTCAGCCCGAATGAAATGATGATGATGATGATCAACACAGGCCATATATTCACTGATGTCCCTTATGACGTTTCGAAAAGAATTGTGAATGAAAAAAAAGAAGCGAGAAAAAAGTTCATTTCGTTCATCTTTCTCATTTTTTTTTATCTCCATGAATCAACATGAATGATGAATAGCGCAAAACTCCCCGAAATCACAATCACAATCACACACACACACAAACACACACAAACGATCATAACGATGATATGGAATTAGTATGAATTTCACTTTTCGCACCAAACCAAACAAACAACGAATTTGTGAGTGTTGGACCATGCTGCTGTTGTTGTTGTTTTTTCTGTTTTTTGTTTTGTTTGTCATATAACAAATTATCCCAATATTCTTGTTTTCACACTCATCTCATTATCATTCGGGCTGACAGGCAGTTGAAAATGGAGCATTATTCAAAAAGTAAGAATACTCTGTATTTGCGGATAATACATCACCACCACCACCACCACCACAAATATTGTAATGACTTTTGCCAATCACCATCAGATAGATTTGTCAAATCCATTCAGTCATTTTAGTCTTATTTTAAAATCCTATTGATGTTATGTTTGTACAAATGTTGTGTGGTCTAAACATAGCCAGCCGTTCCCCTCAAAAAACAACAAGCTCTCGAATGACAAATTTAGATGACACCGTCATCATTCACAATGGATTGTTGATCATAAATAACATGTTGTAACCATTACCATGTTACATGTCACATGATTAAGTTATCACATCGCACATGTCACATCGTTATAAGCATCATCATCATTTTTCTATTTGTTTTTCTGATGACAACTATTTTTTGACTTTTGAACATCATTTTAGCTTGATTGATTGATTGTCATTGTCACTGTCACCCTTGTGTATATTAACACTGACGACCAAAAATAAAAATAAAATAAAAATAAAATAAACCCAACAACAACACCGACATTGATGACATAATCATTTGATCCGATTTATTTATGCTCACCAAATAAGAATTTAATCAATTTCATTCATTTTCATGATTTTGTTTTTTCCTTGAAAATGATGAACCGAGTATTTTCCAGATTTTTCTTTTTTTTGGAATATTCATAAACATGTTTTGAAAGAATGTATTTCCCAAGAAAAGCATAAAGTTGATTGGTGGTGGTGGTGGTGGTGGGTTGATCATTTACAAAACATTTACAAAACGGTAATGTTTGGACATGCAAACATGAAATTATCGAAACATTTTTTTCGATTCGATTCGATTTGATTTTGTTCAATTTCATTAGTGCGTGTTTTTTCGTTTGCATGAAAGAAGAAGCCTACGATGCATTTCTTGCATTTTTTCGGAATTTTTTTTTCTCTTGGAGAGTAATTCTTGGATTCGTGTGTTTACTTTGGCCGTCAAATATGCAAATCACTCTCTAAATGAATGAAAATTTCTGGAATTTCTAAAAATGTTTTTGTTGTTGTTGTTGCTATTAACATGCATCATCATGTGGTTGATTTTTTTTGTTTTGTTTTAAAATGGCAAACAAACACCCACACATTGATTTTATTTTGTTTGAATTTCAGGGAATTCTAAAGATTTTCTTTTGTTGGAAAATTTTAATGATAATGACCATCATCATTATTTTTTTCGTAAAGTTTTTCCCATTGATAAACTTTTGTTTTTTCCACTTTAACGTCGCTAATAAATTGTTTAGTCCGATTCGATATTGAGTGCGTGAATCCATTGATGGTGATGATGAAATCCAAAGTTGCAAACAAAGTGATCATCATCTGTCTTTCGATTCCAGACCAAATTCTAAGAAACAATCCAAGATTTGTGCAATCAAAAAACAAACGGTAGCTCATTTCTATTTGTCAATTGATGAAACAAAACAAATATAAAAGAAAACTTCATGATTGAATCGTAACAATGAATAAAAGATTCTAAATGGTTTTTCATTCATTACTCAAAAGTTCGATTTTATCAGAATATCATTTTTTTGCACACAAAAAACATATCATTATTCTATCTGTTCGATGTATGTATGTGTGTGTGTGTGTTCATGCATTCCTGCTGGGTCCACGCTCATAATCAGTTTTGAGCCAGAATTTCGCCATCCATGTATTTGTTTCTGGCCGCACATTTATTCCAATGATTGTCGTTATATAACCACCATCAATAGGCCATAACCATTCTCATGATGATGATGATGATGATGATGTTGTAGATCCCATTCATTCATTTATTCACGAATCTTTTTATTTTTCTTTTTTTCTTCTAGGACCGTAATATGAAAATGTTGTCCTGTTATGCAGTTAATGGTAAGCTTAATTTATAATCTTTTTCCTCCTTTTTTTCTTCTTTTTTTCCGTTACATTTCTGTTAGGCCTTAGTGTGGTAGTTACATACATTTTGTGTCTGTGTATGTAGACCATAATATAAATTGTAATTGCATTTTTTCTTTTCTTTCTTTTTTTTCACATACCCACACATGCACACACATAGACATCACTCCCGGTGATTCTTTTCGACCATTAGAAAGTAGAAGTGAACAATGATAATAATAACAATACTTACCGAAAAGCGCCTGCCATAAGCAATATCAATATTTAGAGCAATGTCAGGATGTATAATGCTCTAGAAGTCCCAATAATTCTCTCTCTCTCTCTCTATGTGTGTGTGTTTGTTAAAGAATAAAGGTGGTATATACGGTTCCAACGGTATTGATAAACACACACACACACACATTTCTTTTTTTTCAAAGAAAAATAACATTCCTTGCTACAATCAGCCATCCATTTTATTCCGTTGTTGTTGTTGTTGTTCGATTGCTTCTCAATTCTCATTTTTTTTTCTAGTTTCGCTTTTTTCGCGAAAGATAATGTGTTGAAGAGGAATGCTTGGAGCTTAGCGGGCTTTCATAGTAATAGTTAATTGCCCATTATATTATTTCTAAGGTCTCAGGATTCATTCATGAATTTTGATTTAGCATTTTTTCTCTCTTTTCATTTTTACTGTTATTATGATCATTATTATTCTGATATATTGATACTAAATCTATATTTTTTTCACTGAAATTCTTTTATTTGATTTTGTCGATGTGGTCGTTGACGTTGCCGCCGCTGCTATCGCCGTGAATGCCATTAACCATCATCATCATCATCTCTTGTCTATGCAGATAAAATCAGCGAAACGATCGTTGAATCTTCCGTATTGAATGTATTATGTAAGTACTGTATATTCAACTTTGAATATCATCACATACTTTACTTTTGAAGATTTTCTCTTTTTTGAGAACAAAAAAAATTGTTTCATTCATTCACTCATTCATTCTTTTTCTTTCTTTTCTTTTTTCTCTAAAAAATGGTTATCATCACCATTATCGTCGTATTGGTGGCGGTGGCACGCGAAAATTGCTAATTTGTATTGAAATGAAAATCGATCCATTATTATCGTTGCATAACAAACATGTTCATTGGTCGAATGGTGATGATGAAAAATGGCGTGAAAAACAAAACAAAACCAAAATGATACAGATCCACCCGAATCGATTCATATATTTGGTTATGATGAACAGAAAGCATTACAATATGAAACTGTACAGCGTTTAACCTGTACATGTAATGGTGGTAATCCAATTTGTACACCTAAATGGTTTAAAGCAGATAAAGAATTGAATGAAGGAACACAAATCTCTGTCAATGGTAATACCGTTACTAATGAGCTTGGTAAGTGAAAAGAACTCTTCATTTTGTATGAATTATTCTGAAATTCTCATTTTCATCCATTAGTATTCCGTGTTGATCCAAGTGATAATGGTGCCATGTATAAATGTATGGGTGAAAATTCTGCATCACTTACACCGATCAAAGCTATAACAACATTGACCGTTCATTGTAAGTATCATTTTGTTGAAGGTCAAATGTAATCATTCAACCTAGCAATCTTGAGATTCAGGCCTCAATGATTCATTCATTTACTGGTGATGGTGGTTACACCTTGAATTTTTTTCTCCCATTACACTGGTGTTTTGCTCACTGATGACATGTAATTATTGTCATTATTATTAAGTTGTCGACAATTATTGTCAATACGAAAGGGATGTGTGTGTGTCAACTTTCACCTAGAACGATAGAATTACTTAGAATGAAAAAATAGGGACACACCTATGGTTTGGCGTTAAATTTCATCCGGTTGTTGAAAGAAATTTAATTAATGTTGTTGTTTTTTGTTGTTGTCAAGAAATGAAACAAAAAAGAATGAGTTTTCTTATCGTTGTCATTATGATTGTAACTCGAAAAATCTTTTTCTTTTTTTTCAAGTTCCACCAAATAAAGTGTCAATAAAGTTGACGCCTAAACAACCGATTGCCGGTACACAATTGGAAATCTTATGTGAAACGGGCAGTTCAAACCCACAATCAATGATTACATGGTGGCGTGATGGTTTCATGTTAACCGGTCACCAAGATGGTATACATGATGGTCTTTTTGGTGGTAAAATCACTAGGAATATTCTACGTTTAAATGTTAGTAGTCAAGATGATGGAACTGTCATTACATGTCAAGGTATGTGTTTTATTTGTTGTCTTGTTTTTCAACGACAAAGTTTTATGATTCAATTTCTATTTGCATTGAAAGCCAAAAACCAAGTACTTCAACAAAGTGTTCACGATGCAACTACGCTGAATATTCAATGTAAGTCCTCCGCGTGAGACGAAACATACATCTGATAATCTAATAATGAAATGTTTTTTCTTTCTTGATTTTTGGTTCTCATCTCAGATCCACCGGAATTCCTGAATCCACCATTGACACAATTCGATGTGATAGAAGGTCAATCTGAATCATTCAATCAAACAGCACGCGGTAATCCATCAGCTATAACATATAAATGGAAACGTGAAGATGATAGTGAAATTAGTGATAATACTGGTCATCGTATCGTATCCGATGGTCCTATCCTTAATATGACGAATGCACAAAAATCTGATAGTGGTATCTATAAAATATATGCAACAAATGATCTTGCTACAAGTGAATCATCCATACGTGTTAATATTCAATGTAAATTTATTTTTCACTGTCGAAATCATTGACTAAAAAGTATTTCATTCATTCATAGATCCGGCAATAATCAAAAAGACAACCGAAATGGTTTTGGTTGATGAATACCATAATGCACATTTAGAATGTTTTATCGATGCCAATCCAATCAATGAACATGTTATACAATGGATTCGTCGTAAAAATGATTCAGATTATGGTTCGTCATCAATCAATGTTCATCATCATCACAATGTGCCTTTATTAACATCCTCATCATCATCATCATCGTTTGATGACATTGCTTCCTCATCAACAAATCGTATGCATTCTGAAGTGGAATTATTATCCGAAGAATCACAGCCATTCGCTGATGGTGCAAAATTGAAAAGTTCATTATTAATAATCAATGCTACATTACGTGATTCTGGATCAATATTTGAATGTTTGGCCAATAATGGTATTGGTAAAGAGGTTAAATCGTCCATTATATTGCTCGTACTTCGTAAGTTATCATTTTTTGTTGAACAAACTATTTTCTACCTTTCATTATTGGCGCTGTATTAGATATGCAAATTAGGATCAATTTTGAACAGCAGTTTTTTCCTTGTTCTTATATCTGAAAAATATGCCACTATTAAATTGCAACCACACACAAACAAAAATAATTCTTTATCTTAGCGTCTTTCAAGATAAAAACTACAAAAAAAAACCTATGCTAAAACTTGATGACAATTGAATAATGTCAACAACAACGATGGAACCACACAGCTAAAAATACCAAAACCAAAATAAATATGCAGCCAGAAAAAAAAAACCAAAACAAAAATGATTTAAATTTATGCCATGAAGACCTATCTATCGTATTTAGTTGTTGTTGTTGTTTTTTCGTTTACCTTATAATGAAATGGCAGGAATCAACCAAATGTAGAGAAAAACCATAAAGATCCATAGGGAAAATGAATGAACGAATAAATGAGGATGACGCCGATGAATTTCATTATTTTTCATCATCATCATCAGGATTTTCGATTTTTTCTTCCATTTTCTACTGCTGTTGTTGTTTTTGGCTTAAATTTTGTTTCCCATCTCTTGTCATTCATCTTTTTTTGTTTTTTTGTTTCGAATGATATTTTTTTCGGTTTACACTGGAAAAGAAAAAGTTTTTCCTTCACGTCCGGGAACATTTATTCATTCATTAGATTCATTTCCATTGAATTCTGGTTGTTTTTGTTTCCCGGTTTTAAAGTTTCATTAACGTTATTTTTTTTGGTTTTGCTGCTGTTGCTGTTCAAATTCATTACAGCCGTAGAAATTTTTTTTTTTTGTTTTCAACTTTTTTTAAGATTATTCTTTTTTAAAATTTTTCATTTTTTTTTCTCTCAGATAAACCCATAATCGATCGATCACCATCAATTTCGAAATCAGCTTCAGAATCAGGCTCATCAGCGAAACTTATATGTCGTGCACAAGGTACGCCCAATGTAACATTTACCTGGAAGCGTGAAGGTTCCGTTTTGGAATCATATGATTCATCATCGGACTCGTCATCTTCATCATCAAATTATCGTTCATCATCCAAATCATCATCTAAATCAAGTGTTGAGAAACCCGCAACAAAATATGTGATTGAAGAGACGAAAAAATTGGATCTAATTAGCTATCAGAGTGTTCTTATCATAAATGATGTTACAAGCAATGATTATGGTCCATATGAATGTATTGCTCGCAATGATCTTGGTTTCGATGCTATGGCCATTGCATTGAATCGTACATCAAGGCCAGATTCACCACGTTCATTGCGTGTGGTGAATGTAACATCTGGTTCGGTTATGTTACGTTGGATGCCCGGTTTTGATGGTGGTTTACCGCAAACATTTCGCATTCGTTATCGGCCATTAGATTCATCATCGACTGGTGGACAAAATATGGATGATATTACCACCACTGGATATATGTATCGTGATGTTTATCCACCAAATGCAACTACAATAATTGTTGGCGGTCTGCGAGATAATACTGAATACATTTTTAGTGTTATGGCTACAAATGAAAAAGGTGATAGTGATTACAGTGCCGACATTGTTAAAGCTTCAACCCTTAAAGGTACGTTGATTTTCAACACTTGAATTTCAAAAAAAGGATTGTTAGCCTTATAGAAAAATAAATAAAAAAATGGAAACTTCCTGTTATTATTATTATCGAGTTTTAGATCAAAAATATTAAATGTATTGGATAGAATATTTGGTTTTCGCATCGAATTTGAATTTTATATTAGGCGTCGACATTGTTGATGTCATTTTTCAAAACACACACACACACATACACACTTATTTTGGACCATTCGGCATTTTGCTAGTGATTTTTTGTGTGTGTAAATAATATCCATTCTAATAACAATATTAATATGTCATATTTTTTTTCGTTCTGTTTCTGTTATGTTCCCGGATCGACCAAAACGAATAAACAACAATCAACTCAATGATGATGATGGCTACGATATGACAGAAAGTGGAATAACCGAAACTGAAAAGATTATATCGAAAGTTTTGGCCGAAACTGGTTTTGATATACCACGATTATTCGTTATCATTTGTGTCGTATGTTTTGCATTGTTGTTGTTCAATTTTGTAAGTATTCTCCATTTTTTTTTTTTTTTTTTTTTTGAAAATATTCTGTCGACATTTTTTGTTTTTTTTTCTTCAATTTTCATCATTTGCTTCGGAATTTATCGTCTGTATTCGTTCGTTTCAACAGCCGGGTGATTTTTCTTGTTGTTGTTGAGAAAAAATATTTTTTGTCCATAAAGTGAATGAATGTCATAAATGCAAAAAAGTATTCTTTATGAATAAATAGTGATCGAGCATAGAAAAACATCAAAATGATGATGATGATGATGATACACATAATTTATCTCCTTTAGGACCGTTTCTCAATGACTTTGAATGTTTATTATATTCCCGGCTATTTTCGGAAAAAATTGTAGAACCACATTCTGAGAGGGCCATTTCCAAAGTTTTTTTTATTTATCTCGCATAGTTTTGTTGTTGTTGTTTTCGAGATTTTCTACTCTAGTTTTTTTATTTATTTATTTATTTCAGATTCACAAGATATACTTGTTCGGAAGAAGAAGAGAAAAGTTTCTCACTTCACTACACTATCGGCAAGTCTAATATTCAATAGTGATTGAACATACACACACACACTATGTGAATGTTTTCTTCAACAACAACAACAAGAACAAAAAACCTCGATAATCGAATCATGAAAACATTCACACACACACACACACACAGAGAGACAGACAGACAATGGCCCTAGCATCCATCTATAGCACAACATATTGATAGTCAAACATCGACCCGTCAAAATCCAAAAAAAAGAAGAAAAGAAAAGAAAGAAAACATGAATACAGTTTTCAATCTGTTTGATTGAAAACACACACACACACACACATGGATATTGTTGTTCATCCTGAAACATAAAGACATCCATTTTTTTTTTTTTCTTTTGCTTTGCTTTATTCATTTTCTTCTATCGACGTCCATGTATACGAAAGCCGTACAATATCAATTTAATGATGATGATGATGATGATGTGAATTGATTGTCAATGAATTTGATGTTTAAGTAAGTCAATGTTGTTGTTGTTGTTGTTGTTTGTGGATCGATATTGGCTTTTCATCATCATCATCATCATCTACATGGTACACATATTCCAGATTCTTTCGTAGTTTAGTATTTTATGTTGACTTTCAATGTCGTCGATCCAAAGAAAAAATACAGTTTACCCATTATCATCATGATGATTGGGCCAAAGTTTGTTTTTTTCTGCGTGATGTTGTTGTCTTGTATAAAAATTGGCTTAAATTGTTTTTGTGCTATCACTCTCACTCTAGAGTCTCTGGTCAATTCCCAGTTATCCAGTTATGGATGAAATGGTTGAAAAAAATGAAAATGTTTTTCATCCTGAATGCGGTGTTTGTGTTTGTGTATGATTTCTCTTTGAAACCACTTAACACTTACTACACTCGTATTTATATTGAAAGAATGAGAAAAATGGTTCAATTTTTTTCTTATTGTAAAACGTTAGTTTCTTTCAATTTTCTTCATTTTCCACTTTTTGCTTTTTTTCTATTTATTATCATCATCATCATCATGAAAATACCAACAACAACAACGTTTTCGTTCAATCAAGAATTGTGATCATGTGACTGAGTGAATTTTTTTTTTTTTTTGGAAGATTTGTCGTCAAAGAAAATGAAAATGGAATACTTCATAGCAGTTCTATTACATTCATGTGTGCCGATTTTGTTGAAAAAAATGTTGCTTTCTTGTGGAAAATTGTTTTCTCTCTCTCTCTCTCTCTCTCTTTCACTTTGCAGCATTTTTTCATTTTTCTTTAGCTTCTTTTTTTCGTTTTATTTTGTTTCTTGTGAAAAATCCAAAATAACAACAATAAAACTGAAAAAAATAAGAAAAAAAACTTTTTTCAAAAAAATTCATGCCAGAATATTTCCCTCGTTTTCCCCTAATCTTTGCTGTATTATTCCTTTTCTCTTCTTTGCTTGCTGTTTGAAAATTGGCTCCCATTTTCCACACATTCAGATTTGTTCTAGTTGTCGTTTTTGTTTGTGGTGTACAACGATGATGTCTTACTATAGCACCAAACTTACATCGATACTAAGAACATTATTATTATATGACCGATCATGAACAACTCTCATAAAAATACCCCAAAAAACCAGTAAAGGGTGCCACATTTTTTTTCGGAAAACATATTGAAAATGGAAAAAAAATCTCATAAAAACATTCTCCATACCAAATGTGTAGTTGGGTAGCATGCAAGTTTATTATATGAGAAAAATCGAAATAAATAAATGGATTCCAATTTGAACTGAAATGATGGTTCAGTTCACTTCCATCGGATCCAGAGAATCCAGGTTTACCACCACCACGATGGAAACTAACCATTTCCAGAAAAGGATTAACTCACGTGCTACCATTTTTGTTTTTCTCATTTCAGTCCAATTTCCCATTTCTTCCTGTTGTATTTTTATTGTTTTTTTCTCATTCTTTTTTGAAATTGATTTATTGAATAAATATTTTTTTTTTCTTCTCGTATAGGTTGTCGTTTTCTATTTACGAGCACGAAAAAGACGCAAACGTTATGAAGAAGGTAAGTTTTACATTGGTTTTTTCGTTTGTTTGTTCTGAAACACAAACCAAATTTTAGTATTCAAGTAAAATTACTCAACTTTCAATCGCATATTAGCAATATTAGTCTTTCAATAAGTGTTTGCTTCTCAATTGCAATTGTGTGTTTAATCCAGCGGCCATTATTTTAAATTGATGTCGTATTAAACTATTTCCGTATGTTGGATACTTTTCATTCATTCATTATTTGACAACGATATCGACTTTTTGTTGGCCAGACTATTCCATATCATTTACGTTTAAATTTGAATAAATGTCTCAATGTTTGTGTGAGAATGGAATGACTGGCCATTCATTCAATAAAAACGAAATTCCAAAATCCAAACAAGACTTTGAGATTAATTTCACATTTATTTCATTTACATCTAAAGATTAGTTGTTTTTTCTTTTCTGTTTTGTTCATTTGGAATTTTAAATGTTATTTTTTGCATTGAGAATTTCACTGTCACTGTGGACAATCTTGATGTTGACCATATTTTTTTTTTATTCTTTGTGTGTCTTTTGTGTTTGTCCTTTAGCAATGTCAATTCTTTGAATCGAAAAGTTTTTTCCGCGAAAGTTAGACCCAAAAATAAATCTAGTTTCAAGATATGTAGAGAACTGTATGTGTGATTCAAAGTTGAATACAAAAAAAAGATAAATAAATAAATGGATGGCCGAATGTTGAACATCATCATGATTGAATAAGAAGATGAATAAGAATAAGACGAACACTTAGAAATCAAAGATTAGTCAAGCTCATTTTTAAATCAGTCACCATCATCAACAACAACAAACCAAAGAAAAAAGCAACAAAACTGAATTCAATCTGAATGAATGAATAAATTTCATCCATCCATCCATCCATCCGAATACAAGATGGAATCATTCAAAGTGTGAATGGCCTGCTGTAAAACAAAAATTTCCAATGAATTTGAATTGTGACAGAATGTTTGAATTTTTTTCTTGAAATTCTTCATCCTCTTACAGAGGTCAAAGAACAACCTGAAATAGTTGTGATTCTAAGAACAAAAAGTATTATTTTCCGTATGTTTCGGCCGAGAAAATAAAATTTGATTTTTTTTTTTTTTTTTGCTAGCTGCAATTATAATGCATAATGCAAGTTGTAATCATCATCATCACTTGAAAGAAAACTTTCTGTACCAATTGTCCAATTGGGACTTGCATCGTTCGTTTTTTTTTGATTTACTCTTTGCACTAGGACTCTATTTTTTTGTATGTGTGTATTGTTGTGGATGTTGTATCACATTCTACTGTTTTCTTTTTTTTGGCATTTGACTTGCCTCTCTAGATTTCATTGTAAACATTTTCAATGGTCCAACGATTTTTTTCTGTCAAATAAACAACAAAGTTGATGATGATGATGAAGACTATAATTTTTTTTTCTCATTTGACTTTTTTTTGGCCATGTGAATATCACCGAAATCGCACACACACTGATGATGACAAAAAAGTTACTTGGTTCTCTGGTATAGACAGTATTCCAAATACAAAGGGGAAAAAACTTTTCACCAAAAAAATCCTGGTAAAGAGAGTGAGAAAGAAAAAAAAAGAAAATGAATATGAAACTAAGCAAACAAACAAACGAAAATGAATGAAAAAAATGGGCATCATTCAACAAACACATAGAAAGAATGAATTTCGATGATTTGCAAGCTTTTTTGAAATTCTTGATTCCTGTATTCATGTATGATGTTCATATAGTAAAATAGTGAGTATGGAATATCATTCTTCCATCCCCTCAGTCCGAATGTGAAAGCCATTACTTTGTGTTTGTTTTGTTTTTTTTTTTTGTTAGTGCTAGAATACACCGAATAAAGAGAGAAAAAAGTTTGCCATTTTTTTGCTCATTGATTCTGATTCATTTGACTTTTTTTTCTTGTGCGAGGTCATTCGGAACATAATATTTTCTTTAACAATTTTTTTTCTTTGCTTTCAAATATAACTCTGATTCGATTTAATTTGTTAACGTCCATTCAATATTTACAACGTTCAGTTTGTGTTGTGTTGTTTCAGGAAAATTTCCCGGAAATTCAAAGTGTGAGAATGCATTTAGAATCGGATTGTCGTCATCATCATCATCATCATTATGATTACCATATATTTTCTTATGAATAATTAAATTATAGACCAAAATGGACTAAAATATCCCATGATTGTAGCTGTGATGATGGACTAACATCGGAATATGTTTTTCTCGTTGCATTCTATATGGACTTCATTGATGATGATGATGATGATTTGGCCAAACGTAACTTTTTTTGTTTCTATCATATTCACTATCCAAATATGAAGATGCTGATGATGATGGAAGAAAAATTTACATATTTCTTGGCGAAATATTTTCCATATTTTTATCATCTTCCATGTGTGTATGTTGGATTCGCTGTTCAAATTGAATAAAATAGGCCCTAAGATAAGATGGCCGTTTGTTTATGTTGATGATGACGTAATTTTTTCTTTTTTTGCAAATTGTAATTCAAATTTTCATTATCACAGCACAGAATTTTTTTATATTCTATTTGCATTCTTGTTTCACACACTTTTTTTCATTCGAAAGAATCAAACAACAAAATCAGGAAAAACTGACTTTTTCTATTACAAGTTTCATTTTGATAGCAAATTATGTTGCGACACTGAACTGGCAAAGACCTGGCCACATTTGATGTATTTTTTCCTGAAAAAAGTTTTCTTCCTATGTCCATGAATGTGATGGTTGACAATATTCTGTATTTTAACTGGAATTATTTTTTTTTGTTTCAATTTTCAAATGGAAACAAACTTTCAAAAAAATGACTAAATAAGTCAGATACATTTTTGTCAAACAAAAAAAAACAAAAAAAAAATTATCATCACACCACCACACTCGTCTGTTTGACACCATGGATTATTTTATTTATATGTCAGCAATCATCATTATGTGTGAAATGAAAGAATTAAATCCCGAGATTTACCTTTTTTCTTTCTCTCGTTAGAACAAATCATGTGTATATTATCATGACCATAGTATGATTTACTTGCTTATCCGAAATTTTTCTGTCTTGTTCGTGTAAAAAAATTAGATTAAAGCTTCGTTGTCTGTGCCCAAATTGGCTACTCATTCAGCGTTATAATTCTTAGTTTTTTTTTTGCTGTCCAACATTGCTGACTGGCGTTGGTTGTGTATGGTTGGTTTGTTTTGTTTGAATCATTGGATCACGTTAAATCATGGATCATTTATACATTTCATATTTTCATTTTCATTCGTTTCGTTTGTTTTTTCCTGTTGTTGTTGTTGTTGTTTATAACATTGGATTATAACATTTATAAAAGTTTGGGTGATGAATGAATGAACGCTGAGTCTAAATGTTTTTGCTGTATGCATCATGATCATGATGATGATGATGTTTAGCCAAACGTGCCTTACTTTATTAATTAGCTTTATTTATTATTTCTGTTTATGTTCATGTTCTGTTTTCTATATTTGATGTTTGATGTTTATTTCAAAATTAAATAGAGAGTGATGGATATTCTGGTGGTACCGATAGTAAAACGACTACAAGTAGTAAAACGACAATAGAACTTTATGATTCCAATGGTACAAATGGTACAATAAAACCATCGACAATATCGAACTTAAATCATCATCATCATCACCATCATCATCTAAATAATAATCATATTGGCCATTCACATATGAATGGTGTTAAGAATGGCAATGGTATCATAACAGAAACATCATTGAGTGGCGGTGGTTCACCAGCACCCGGCGAAGATGAATTGATAAGCCAAAAAAGTGATGATCGTTTTTCTGGACAAACCGAATATGAAATGGTATGATTGCAATGATATGGATGTATTAATTATTAATTGATTATTATTTATCGAACGTTTCTAATGATTATCAGGAGATTTCTGCCAATTCCATTATGGCATTGGATGATCCGAATTTCGGTGCAAATTTATTGCAGCCACATCCTCATCATCTTCATTTATCTGGTGCTGGTATTCATATTACCGGCAATGGCCCTTTAGGAGGTGGAGGTATGAGCACCTATTTGATTGACGACCCTAATCATAACCCGATGATGATGAATTTGAATGATGAATCAAATAATGGCGCAATTAATACGAATTTTCACCATCAACAACAACAACAGCAACATCATTTAATCAATTCAAATAGCAATACTTTGCCACCATCAAGACCGCCATCAATACCTGTACATTATTCGACAAATTTACGTTATTCATCACTAGGTACCCATTTTTCAAATTTTTTTTTGTTTTTGTTTTTCCCATTTTCAATTAACCCTCGTTTTTTCAATTTTCCATTCACACACTATCACTGTTTTCTTTTCTCAGTTCTGGTTGTTGCATTGCATTGCATTTATTATTTTCGGTGATTTTTTAAGGCTTAATTTATTTTTCGTTTTTTGCTCAGTCAATCACTCTAGTTTGCTAGCGAAAAAATTCTTATAGTCAAAATTTCTCTGCAACAACAACAACAACAACAACTAGGTCAGTAATGCATTCACAGTGTATAGATTTTTTGGATTCTCTTGAGGTATCTCACTACTACTTACTACCCATCACATACACACAAATTCAAATTAGACAATTTCCATTTCTTGGTATTTTTTTTCTCTTACCACCATGAACACACACATTCTTTTCGTGCAAAAAATATGTTACTGTCAGATGTATTTATACAATCCATTCATTTATTCATTCATTCAGTTCAGTTCAGTTCAAATTCAATTCTAGTTTTTATCACTGAAAACATTTCTCGCACGGTCACACACACACATCAATTTATTTTGCTAAATGCATGCATTACGCCCACACCCACAAGCACATTGGATCCAATTCTTTTTTATTGTTTTTTCTCATCACTTGTGTCATTATCATTTTCTCAAGCGTTATTAATTCCATCACCATCATCATCATAATCATAGAAAGTGTTTGTGTGTGTGTGTGTGTGTGTGTGAGTTTCAATCATAGAATCTTTGCTTGCTTTCTCATTAGATTTTTTCGAGAGTTGATTTCAACCATGGGACTCATCATTTTTTAAGATGGAAATAGATCTGGTGTAAATATACATGAGGAACAAACCACTTTCCTTTTCCTTTTTTTCAATTGATTTCTCCCGCTCTTGTTGAGAACAAATTACATGTTGAATGAATTTTTTTTAAATTCTGTCTGTCTGTCTGTCCGTCTGTCTGTGTTTGTTTGTTTGTTTGTTTGCGTTATTTACGAATTTATTCGTTTTCCTCTATTGCCTTATCTATTCTCGAATGAATGAATGAATGCACAAGTAAATGATCGTGGTAGTTATCGATAATTATTGAAAATCTTTAGAATGTTTTTTCGGTTTTTTATACGTAATGCAAAACTACACAGGTCTCCAAATGATGATAGGCAACAACAACGAGAAAAAAAATCAAAACTAAAGAATCGTCAAGAATCAAGTTTTTTTTATCGTTATTTTGCCTTTATATAACATTGTTATACCCAAAAAAAAGTCTTTGTTTTTTTTTCGAGACACAAAAAAAAGAATTCCCAGTCTTTTGTTTTCGCATTTCCGTTCACAATTTACTAACTGCTGTTGTTGTTGTTGTTGTTGTTGTTTACTTCGCAATCCCAAGACACAAACACACACAGACAATGAATGTGTCCCAGATACTGAGACAATGACTAAATTATTATTTTTTTTATTATTTCTCGTGAAAAAAAAACAAAACAAAACAAAAAGACTTTTCTCCACCATATAATATAATAGTCATGCTCGTCATCACAAACAAATTAAGAATAATAACAATTTAAGAATATTCAAACAAAATATAGAACAACTCACTGAATTGCTGATGTATGCTTCTGCTGCCTGTCTATTTATTCATCTTCAATCTTTTTATACTTATGCGCTTTACATTTCTCAAATTGACTTCTAATTATTATTTATGTGGAATTACTTTTGCAATCCATTTCAGGTTCAGATATTGCTCCAGCAGCATTCTATAATGCAATTGCAGCCGAAGAAGATTACCTTAATGCACTACAACAACATCATCAAGCTGTACAGGCTGCAATGGCTGTCAATACTCATCATCATGCCAATAATAATGGCACAGCAACATTAATTACCGCTAATGGTCCAATTGGTACGATACAAACATCACAAGGACCAATGCAAATTCAATTGAATAGTAGTGATCTCACTGCTGGTTATGGTACTATTGGTGGTGGTCATCCACATCATATTGATCATACAATGGCCAATACTGCCACCACCACATATCATCTAGTGGGACCTGATGGAACGCTCATTTCGGTATGTTTGTTTATTTTTGCTTCTTTCAAATTCCCGATTCTTAATTGATTGATGGATTGATTGATCGATTCATTCATTTATTCTTTCAATCATCAATTGATTATTCACTATTGTCAAAATTTCTTTTCAATTTTTCGGAACAATTCAATTCTTTGTGTGTGTGTGCGTTTTAGCATCGTCCCAAAAAACGATATTGCTCACAGTGTATGTGTTTGGATTATTTCCAGAGAGGATTATATCTCGGCAAAAAAAAAAATTCAAAAAGCTTTGATAACCGAACACAGAAAAATGTGAAGAAAAGAAAAATCTTTTGTGTGCCACAGCAAAATGAATGAAGCAAAAAAAAAATGATAACTTTTTCTTTACTGAAATAATTCTGTGTGTGAAAGTAAAAAGAATGAATTGAATAGAAAATTATTGAAATCGATCATTCAAAAAAAATTCGATAGAAATTTTGATTTTTTCCATTTTTCAATGAATTCTAAAAGGGCGACAAATGAAACACAATAGAATCGAAAACAAAAAGAATTTTAAATTTTCCCCACCACCCTCTGCAAATTGATTCAATTCTCGAATCATTTTGCAGAAAAAGAAAATTGAATTGATTGAAAGCGAAAGTAGAAAATGAAAAAAATGATAATGAAAAATATGAATGTCAGATTTCAATACATTTTTATTATTTTGGAAACAAAATTTTTAAATTCCACACACACACACACAAAATTCAGTGATTCTCAAACATTTTTTTGTTTATTTGGTCCTAAAGATGATTCTCGCTAATTTTATGTGATTCGCGATCATTGACATTGTAGCTTTTTCTTATTCCAGTTTCATTATTGTTATTACACACGTATACAGCCAAGAAATAGTCATCATTTTGTAACCAATTTTTTTTGTCCAGGATTTCCTTTCTTTTGCCATTTAGTAGCTAAGTATAAGTTTGTCCCTGTTGTTTTTTTTTTTTTTTTTTTTGTTAAATTTTCTTCATTTTCCAATGAACAGAAAAAATGTTTGCCAAAGTTATTTCTTATAGTTAGGTTTAATGACAAAGAATAAATGCTTGACTTGCAATTTTTTTTTTTTGTCTGCAAATTATGTTCAGTTTTCCCAATTCTCTGCTGGGCCATTTTCGCCTATGTTTGTGGGTGAGTTGCAACCGATTGAAACCCGTTAGGATGTGAGTGTATCGACATCATTGATTGGCAACATAATGGGTTGCTGGTGGTGGTTGTTTGAAATCCTTTCGAAAAAAGCAAATAAAAAATTAAATTTCTTCATTTTTATTTGTTTACATTGATGTTCGGGTGCATTTGATGTCCTGATATTTGATTTGTTTCAATTGCCCTTTCTCTCTCTCTCTTATGAACTCAGAAGTAGCATACTTTTTTGTACAATCTCGGGTCCCGTGGGCAGTTTCTACTATTTTGTTGCTTCTCTCTCTGTGCTGTGCACTGAATTACCGTATCTATATATTATTTATCCTTTCCTTTCTATTCTTGCAACTCTGATTAAAACTTGTGTTTTTTTTACAGTCATCGAATTCTCCACCATCATCAACAACGGTAATATCGCCATCAAATGGCCCGATTGGTGCTGGTGGTGGTGGTGGCCTCATTCCACCACTTCCGCCATTACGAAGTATAATGCCACAGGGACCATCATCAACATCATCAGTATCAACATTGCAACAACAACAACAACAACCACCACCACTGCCATCATCATCATCAATAGCAGCAACGGCTACGAGTGGTGGATCGATGACCACATTTTTGCCGGCCATTACCGAAGAGCCACCAATCACTCCTATTGGCCATCTTGTCTAAAATAAAATCTGTTCATGTGATATATGTGTGTGTGTGTGTGTGTGTTTTATTCCCATTACGGGTTATAAAATAACTAAGGAATACAAACCCAAAAATTTGGAATTGCAATTACCGATAGGCCATTACCGCTATGATCGCTATGAACGTAATCGACGAACAACATTTGATCACATGCACAATATACAGTTGCAGAATTTCCATCAAGTAAAGTAAATTAAGAGAAAAGAGAAAACTTGGAAAAAATATTTCGGGCGCCAAGTTTGACACCAACAGCCAACCAACATAACCAACGAATCGCTTCATTTCTCGCTTCTCAATTTCCTCGGAAGCATACATTCAAAAGATTTTTGAAAAAAAAAAAAAGTTGATTTTGATCCACTTACACATTATTAACTCTTTAAAGAAAGTCTACAATCAATCAATTTTCTTGCCGCCGCCATCGGTTTGGTCGATTCAAATATTATTTCTTTGCGCTTTGTAAAACTTTAAGTTGGCTTTATTTATTCGTCATGGAAAGCAAGAAGAAAAGACTCCCACCACCAAGTGTTATTACCCCATCATCCGCCCACTTATTTAGATATTTTTTCGAACGAATTTTCCTGAAAATGCACTTGGTGGAATGGCAATGTCACAGCAATTGAAATTTTAAAAATTTTCACATTCCATTCATACAATTTTACAACATTGTACATGCATGAAAATTGATTGGAATGATTGAAAAGAATTTTTTATTTTTTCAAATCCATTTCATGTGCCTTATTCACAACAACGACAAACCTACTCACTTACTATCTCTCTGAGGATTCATTTCAAATCACACGACATTACATAGATGACGCCCGAAAAAGAGATTTTAATTTTTTTCGTTTGTTTGTTTTTCGTTCGTTCCACAGAATTGCCATCCCATTTCCTTGTTGTTTTTTATCTTGTTTTTTTTCTTTTATTTCTGAACGGAACGAATTGTTGCAAACTGTCTATACAAACAAATACTTTGTCCACCAAAAATTAATGAGACTAGTCAATAATAGAAAAGATACGACGACGATTTCCATCTTTCAGAATTGACATGAATATTCGTTTTTGTCATTTTTTTTATTTTATCCATTACATTTTTTGATATTCAAATTTCCACCCACCCACACACACACACACACACACATACACATTACATCTTTTCTTTGATCCATCAGTTTTTTATTTCTATGGCCAATATTAATTTTTATGTGCCTCATTCATTTGCATAAAATCATCAAAACAAAAAATGTGACTACCACTCTACTACTGTTAGTTTGTACATATATTACCAATGTCACACACACACACACACACTAACAATAAACATTATCCCACCGATTCATCAATCAGCAATCAAATTATGAAAAAACCTGAGAAATCTGAAAACAAATCTCAATGGCCTTTTTTCATTTTCTCATTTTGATTTCAAGATTTTCATTCTTGCAATCTTTATTCCATTTTTTAGTACAATGAAAATTCATCAGTCTCTATGCTTCAGACACCGACAATATTGAAATAATGAAATGAATCGATTCGAACCAACCAACAAATCTCAAATATTATCATCTCCCAACAGTTGAAAACAACAACAGTCAAATTGGTCAATCATCCGGATTGATTCGAAATTATTGTTTTATCTTTACAATAGAGCCATTTTATATATTTTTATGATGAATTCAATTCGACTCACTACTGATTGATTCATTTGTGTATAATATTTGTAAATATTCATCATGTTTCCTATATGTTGCCAATCTTGTAATGGATTGAATATAAAAAAAAATTGATTTATCAATAAAATAAAATAATTTTTTTCAAAATTAACTCATCATTTAATCTTAATCCTGGATAAAAGGTGGCGCTACATTTTTTTCGTTTATTTTTCTGTCCGATTGATTGATAACTGTCAAATACAACCACGATCCGCTGATCGTTTCAAAATAGAATGAATCTGAATGAATAAATCGAGAAAACGCCGAACATAAACAGACGACATTGACCAATTTTCATTTTATCTGTTGGTGAACAAAAGCGAATGCATTACACCAATATTGGCGAAAACGATCCAGGAACCAGTATATCTAGTTAAAGATTGCATTACTACTATGTGAATGCCTAGCTGATTCTTGTTGACAACGTCGACTGTAGCAACTGATACAAAAGGTGAATGTTCTCTCTCTCAAAAAAACAAACAGTTCCTGGTTATCAAAATTTATATTTGTTTCGTTATTATTATCAGCTAACAGGAATACTGAAAAAAATCGAAATTTTGCGGTCGTTGTCGTCTCCACATACATTCGATTCCAGAAACTTGGTTATTTCTTTTTTTTTTTGGTTCTGTTCATACGACTATAACTCATATCTACATGGCTATTATTGATAATGACCATTCATAATAACCAGAATCATCATGCATATTACTACTCCGTTCATCACTTGGTCCTTGAGATTCTTCTTCCAAACAAAAAACATTACACAATGATGACGCAATTGTTTGATTATCTCTCTCTGCATTCTTTTTCTATCAAGTTATTTTTGTTGTTGTTCTGGTGACAAGAATTCAATGAAAAGAAGGAAAAGTTATTAATAATAATCAACGAAATGTTGTACGTCCAATCCATTTGAATGATGGCTTGATGAAATGAGAGAACAATAATTTCAATTCCATACCGCCACTATTACTGACTGACACCCAACTGCTTTGGACATAACAATTTGGCCAAAACAAATGAAAATGAATGAATCAAACTGACAAAAGCCAGTCATGGCAACCATCATCACCACATATTCAATTTTTTTCACTATTTGTGTCTGGTTGTGTTTTTTAAATCTATCTAACCAGAGATCTAGCAATTCGAAATGTTTCATTTCCTTATTTGTGCAGGACAAGTGAAGATCGCAGGATGACATATCGACGACAGCAACAACAATCAATTTCATCATCGTTGTATCGTTATTTTCTCATTTTCTCGATGTCAAATTTTCTAAATGTAAATCACCTATTGACCAATTGATCTGCTGATATTTTATGAATTCCAAGTTCAAATTTCTATATTCAATTTCAACCATTTTTTTCACAACTGCTCCATATTTCTGTGTCTGTGTCCTGCTACAACAACAACAAAAATATTTGGAATTCCTATTTCCACCATAGTCATCGTCGATCGGTGGATCGATGGATAAAACTTCAATATAATATAATCGGATCAGTTTGCTTTTTCAATTGAGAAAATTGAAATGAAAAACCGATTCCGCAACAAACAGAGAAAAAGTTGAACTAACAAAAACTATGAAACTTGACCAACTATAGATTGTTGTTGTTATTGCAGGAAATCGATGCTTATTTATAAAAATATCGATCACATCACCATCATCCAAAAACGTATTACAAGAATTGAAATTGAAGACTGAAAACAATTGAATCGAAATTTTGTCGCTTCCCCCCATTCATTCGACATTACAGTTAAATAATGATTTTCAATTGTGTATGTGCCATCTGTTTGTCTGTATCATCATGCATCAAGTTGTAAACTACATTTCGTTGGTTCCGACGTTTCTATGATAATTTGATACTTTTTTCAATATTCACTGTTTTTTCGATGCGAAATTTCAACTCTTTATTTAGAGTAAAATTTTTTTTGTCTACTGAAAAAATCGACCGTTTCGTTGAATTACTAATAATGATCATTGATTTTGAATCAAATATTTTCATAGACAGTTTTGCTATTCATTTTATGAATCTATCCTATTCTAATTGTGTATGAATCATTGCTATATATAAATTGTTATTAACATCAATTGCCAATAACGGTCGGTTATCTCATCATTATCATTATTATCGACGAAAGAAAAAAACAATTGTTTCAAGGCAATCACATTGTAATAATAATAAAAGTCGGAAAATCGTTTTCTTCGTTTTTTTCGAAAACAATTATCACAATGGCAACGATAAGCCATTATATTGTCGCCATTGTCGTTATAATGGTTGTTTATGATGATCATTTTTACCACCGAAATTCATCGATGGCCGCATCGATATTATTATTACCACCAACAGCATCACTATCATCATCTACACTCATAAGAAACAATGAAGCTGATACAGCATTATTATTGGATTTACCGACAACAAATGATGATCGGACAAAACTTGTCACCCACAATAATGATAACCATTCAATTTTGTTATTTCCAAATTCACCATCATCATCATCTTCGTTGACTCAATCGAACGGTAAGTCGTAATGTAGTTCAATTTGATTTGGATCACTTTCCATTCGTATTCATTCATTCATTCATTCATTCATTTCATTTCATTCGTTAATTCTTTTTCCATTTCAACTAATTTAATGCCAATCATTTTTTTCTGTTGAGCTTCGCTCTATTTCGTTTCCCTGGGTTCATTTTTGTTTGCCACAATTTTTGGTTCAGAAGAAATAGCTTGAAAGAATGAAAGAATGAAAGACCTAGAGTAAATAACGAGAAAACAAATCCATCCACCCACATACACATAATGAGAGAATTGCATTCAATTCGAAATGAAAACAATTTTTTCCCGAACAAGGAGTTTCCGTTCACAAATTGTGTCTGGTATGTTTTTGTTGAGTTGATGGTGATGTGATGGGAATGAATTTCGTTCTTTAAATAAAACATCCTTTTTTATCTCACCAAATACACACACACACGCACACACACAATGAATGTCAATATTATTTCCTCGACAATTGTCATCATTATACAATGATGATTGTCACCATCATTTTACTTGTTTGGTTCATCATCAATTAATTAATTAATTATAATTAAATTGATATTGTTATTGATATCTATCCATTTATTATTATTTAATATTAATTAATTAATTAATCGGTCACATTTGGATGGTCATGTGATTTGATAATGTGAGAATGATGATGATCATTATGATGATGGCAAAGTGTTTGTCTTTGTGTGTTATCTGTGATTGTCAATTTGCGTGCAACAAAAAAAAAATATTCAAATCTCGATTTTTTCTGCTTCAACGCTCACATTTGTGTTTGTTTTGGTTAAACGTTTTTTTTTCAACGTATGATGACGATCAAACTAGGGGGTTGAGTTGCACACATGTTCTGATTAATTCTGATCTTTTCACGAAAATTTTTCAAAAAAATTGTTAGCTGTTTAATTTGAATTTTATTATTCATTAGTTTTCGCTTTATATAACGAAATTTTGTTGACGAAATTTATTTTTTCGCTGCCTAGCAAAATGTCGATCACAACAATTCAGTTATTCAGTTATTGCACTAAAACCACTCGATATCAAAGTTGAATTTGATAAGTTTTTTCGTTTCGTTTTGGTTCAGGCAAAAAATACTCAATGACGTTGATGATTGTTTTGTTTCGTTTCGTTTTTTCATCAATTTTCTATTACATTTGAACTCTGTCCCGACTGATTTCACTCGTTTCGGGAGCCGTTTCCGATTAAATGAAACGTAAAAACCATCCACAATCAATCTGAATGAATGGTATGGTATGGGGTGGCAGAAATATAAACATTGAAAAAGAAAACATGGAAAAAGAACAGCAGAATTTAATCCGAAACAAGCTGTAGGATTTTAATAGAAGTTGTTTTTTTCAAATTCAAATAAAACTTTTTAGCAATCCTTAATGGAATCTTCAATCGAATGTGATATTTTTCAACAACACAACAAACAAAATAAAAAATAAAACCAAACGATCGAGCATCGAGCAAAAGGGAATTGACTCGATTTGAAAATAGTAATGATTTTTAAATCGATTCATCAAGTATTTTTTTGTTGTAGTGTAATCGTTTTTGAATCGAATTGAATTGGATGATTAAATGGTAGAATTATTTCAGATTTCACTTTTTTTTCATTGTAATTTCTGATTATTTTGTTGTTTTTGTTTACTAGTCTTGTATAAATCTATGAGCGCATCCTTGTTGAATGCAAGAATGAATGAAAAGGAAATTCATAATGAAAGTCATCATCATTGCCAAGTTCGGTGAAAAAGGCAAAATATTTGTTACCCATTCGTGTTTTTTTCGTGGTTATCATGTTTGTAAAAGTGTTCGTTGTTGCTGTTGTTGTTGTTGTCTTGAAATCCACTTAGATGGCATATTGACAAACTATTGTTGTCATCATTTCGTTGAAGGCCTATTGTAGATAGTTTCAAATAAGAATTTCGTTTTGAAGAAAATATATTTCATTTTCAAAACTCAACTCAACTCAACGACTAATATCTCTGTTTTTTCGTCGAAAATTGATGTCATCGTCCCATTCAAGTACAGAGAGAGAGAGAGAGAGAGAGAGAGAGGAAAACCTAGAAACAGCGAATCCATCTTAGTCTTTTTTTCGCTGTTATATTCTGGATCTTTTCACACTTAGTTTTGTTTAATAAATAAATGTCGTTTATTTCTTCTTTCATGTTTTTTTTCTATTTTCTCCTGATTCTATTCGTAAAACATTTAAATTATTTATTCTTGATTCACCACATAGTGTCATTGTACAATAAACAATGTTGAGACATTTTTTTCAACGAGAATGTCATTTCACTTTCTATTATCTTGGTATTAATTTTCTATCTTAGTTTTTTTGAGCTTAAGTAATGGATGTGAATGAAGGAAAGATAAAAAAAAGTAGAGCCATTAGTTTGTTTTGGTTTTAAGCTTTAATTTTTTGTTTCGTTTTCGTTTTAAACATTTCAGAGTCTTGGAAATATAATTTCAACATGAATAAAACCTGTACAAAACAAAGCGAATGTGCGGATGAAAATCAATCAATGGATAAATATTATTATTATTGTGACCTGAAATTGAGCCAATGTATTTGTGTTGGATCATCGTATCTTCAATGTCAACAGCGAAATCATGCCACTTTGAACGATAGCGAAAATAATAACCAGAAAACACTCTGGGATAATGGTAATTATCAGTTTCAATATCGATCACCGAATTCAATCGATATTCATATTTATGCCGAAACGACCCTCCCACACTAACCGAAAAAAGATTTGCATAATTTTTAATTATCAATTAATAATTACATTCATATTCATATTCAAATTCATAGATGTTTGGATAGCTAGATTGTTCGAATATGAATACACCAATTGCAATCGACCCATTAATGACTATATGTTGAATAATTTATTCATTCCCTTCATTTGTTTTTTGTTTCTTTTTTTCATTATTTTCAAATATAACGATGCTGATTATGATGATGACGACGATAGGATTGAAAGATTTTGTTCGTCGTATGCCAATGTTACCGATATCGATTATATTGATATCAATGTTTATCTCTATTTGTATTGTACTACAATTGTTTGCCAAGTAAGTATAGATTAGTGTGTGTGTGTATGTTTTATTTCTAATCTTATCTTTTTTTCTCTATTTTTGTTTTGTTTTATGCATTCTTCGTACACAACAAAACAAACGACTAACGACTATGATGATAATGATGAAAATCGATTTGGAATTTCACTTTATATTCGATGACTATGGAATTCCATTTCTGTGTTTGTTACGTTTTTGTTTCATCTGGGTTCAATACCATGATGATGATCTATTTGAACAAAAAAAATCGATTAGGGCTCGTTTTCGTAATACTCATCGTTCGATATTTGCTAATCCACAAAAATTAGAATTGGCCAAAGCACAGGAAAGACGATTGTCTCAACTATCGCAATTATCCGGACAACAACAAGCTAATAATAATTTGGCATGTTCGGGTTCAGAGAATCAACGGATATATTCATTGAGCCATTATAAATATCCACGATTATCATTGCCACAGGCACCAATACCAACATCCTCATCATCATCATCGATTCGTCGTTCAGCACGTAATAGTCTTGGTTCGACAATCGTTCCAACAATAATTGGACCAACATTGGCAACAGCAACTCCTACTTCGGCTAATTCGTTCAATACTTTATCATCATCATCATCATCGCAAAATCATCTCAGTGTTAAACAAAAACAGGAAAGAAGAAACAACAATTTGACGACATCTGAATCACTATCAATTGTATTTTAAATTGATCTTTAATGAAATGATTTTGTGACGGCGCTTCAAGCGTCGTTTGAGGTTCTGGTGACCTTTTGTCATCAATGAAAATGTATTTAAGAGACGATTTGAATGAAAAATTTTTTATTTCCCAAGTTTTTTGTCTCGAACTCGCTTCGTACACAAATTTTTTTAGTATAAATTAAAAATAATTTCACCATCAACAATTGAATCACCAGTGAAGCAAAGTGTTTAGCTGTTATTCATCTCTAATTCATCTATCCATCATCTCTATCAACTTGGAGCAACGCAACATGTGACTAAATCGTTATGGTTTTTTATCGTGAAAAAAGTTTTGTATCAAAATGTTAATGTACGAATATCAGGTGAGAAAATCAGCATTACTTGCAAAAGAACTTTTTGTTTGAAAATAATGATCAAGTTCCTTATAAAGGATGGCCACACATTGACTGCACAACTAACTATTCATTTTGAATTGTTATTGCTAATGCGGTATCATTTTTGTGTACATTGTCTGAATCGTTGTCGTTTTGCAAACGTTTCTTTACTTTTGTTTTGTTTTGTTTTTCTTCTTGAAATTCTTCACATTCCATTCGAAGGAAATTCTGGTTCTATATTTTTTTTAGCCAATCTTTCGATCTCGACAAATCGAAATTTTTCCAATTGCAAATGAAACATAGAAAAAAAGAGAGAGAGAGAGTGAAAGAGAAAAGAGAAACAAAAACAAGACCGAAATTGATGGTTATGGCTGGTATTCACCATTGTTATTGTATCGGGCATTCAGAAACGAACAAAACGAAAAGAATCGAATCATTTGTTTTCGAAACGATTTTTTTTCTTGCCCAAACCATTATCATAAGATTTGGTTTTTTCTTCTTTTTGTTAAAGTCACATCATCATCATCATCATTGTGTCCAACAACGAGAAAATGAGAAATAAAATTATCTTGCATTCAAAACAAAAACAAAAAAAACATCGTTTACAAGAATGATGATCTAATCTCCAATCAAAATTGGCATGACTTTATCATCATCATTGAGCTATAGCTAAAGAAGCAACTGTTTTTTTTCGACTATGATGTTCATCAGTTCATCATATTCATGATTTTCCATTACTTTTTCTCTAACTATTGATATTTTTTTTTGCAATTTGATTTTAAATTATACAAGTGACGCCATCTATTAACAGAAAAAAATCTATGAACAGTAAATGCTCTATAAATGTGAAAAATTGGCTAAATTATTAATACTGTTTCTTGACTTTTTGTTGTAGTTTTGTATCTCTATTTTGTATCAAATGGAGAATCGTAAATTCCATGACCAGTCTTTTTTGAAATTTATCCACATTTTTAGATATAAACTTGTACATATTGAATGATTTATTTGATTTAATACAATGAATGATGAATGAAAAAATTTGTACAAAGTGATAAATAAAACAAAAATTAATTTTCTTGACAGAAATAGAGAAAGCAAAAGACTAAAAAAAGATTGACATTTTCAAAAATCAAATTGAATTATCATCATTATTATACATGTGTTGCAATGCTTATTTTTGAAATGCAATTATCCAATTCTTTGGCAAGAGATGGCGGTGGTGTAGGCATCGGCGTTGATTTGACTCGATTATTATTAACAGCAATGCCAATCGGTTGTGATGAATGAACCGAATACGGATTTGCCTGATACATATCGATCGTCGATGGTGATGATATAGGATTTTGATTGGCGGCCATCTGAATATTATTATCAAATTGTTGTTGCTGTTGTTGTTGATAAAATTGCTGTGCCAGATATGGTGAATAGGAATTTCGATTTGAATTCGGTATCGATGCTAAATGTCTGGTCAACGTTGAATAATTAGTCGATGATAACGGTGGCATAGCAACAATTTGATCCGATTTGGCCATGTTGTTATTCTGCAGAAATAAATTGAGAAAACATTAAAACCATCGAACATTCATTAAATCAATTGAATAATGGGTAATATGATGGAATGAAAACATAAATTACATTGATAATTCATTCATAAATTGATTCACTTAGACAAACTGAAATCATCAACCTGATCCAATACTGTAAATCAATTCATGAAAACATCCTCATTTTCATTTATCGATCAATCAATGGATTGTTACAGGTTTCTACTACTATTATTTGAACACAAACATTTTCATTCTCTTAACTTTATCGCCACTGCCTTTCATACACAATCATAATAATAATCATAATTAAGTCATTAATTTTCTTCCAATTTGAACATTGGTTTCTATAACAAACAACCAGATCAACAACAGCAGCACGATGAATGTATACATAGAAGAAAAAATGACGATCATCATTTACGAATCCAAGTTATTATTAGTTAGTTTTCCATTCAGAAGTTCGATTTGGGCGAAAATTGTGACAACAACAACAATCGCGAAATCAGAATGAATGGCCAGCCAATATTTACCCAGTTTATTCATGTTTGTTTGGATAATCTAATCTTTGATCTTGTGGTCTGTCTGGTGGATTGATGATTGTTGTTATCATCAACATCATTATTATGATGATTCCAATTATATATCATTTTCTTAAATACAAAATGAAGAATGATCCTGTCGATAAGAGTTTGTTTTTTTCTCGGCTAAAATTGGCATCAATCTTTTCACATCATCATCATCATGATGATGTATCAACATAATAGGTATGGTCGTGTGATTATTGTAGATTTATTTTCCTAGTTTTTTGTTTGTTTGTTTGTTTGTTCTGTCAACAACTGGTTGGTCAATCCATTTTTCATCGATTATATTGGTTCTGAATACAAGTTGATTCCAATTTTCTACTAAACCATCCACAAAAAGGATTCATCTCATTGATTTAGATTTATTATTCAGCTTTCTGTATTTGTCTTTCAACAATGACATGACACACATAATTCGAAACTCGAATTCATTCGTACTATGATGATGAATGAAGATCTGAGAAAAAAACATGTATCAATTGTGTGTCCACAACAGATCTAACTTGGGATTCGTGAAAATCAACAGAAAAAACACAGCCTTTATGTGAAATTATCTGATTACATTTGAGGAAAAAAGTTGATCAAAACAATTATGCTATGTGTGTGTTTAGACAAATTAACTGTTTGATTTCCGTTGGATTAATGAGTGGATGGATTTTGTGGCTACCTGTTTGCATCATGGCTTGATAGGTTTTTCAATCAAAACAAAATTCATCGTTGACAAGCATCAACAATCATCATCATTATGGATTTTGATTGCTTTTTGAATTGATCCATTTGATTCATTTAGAAAATCTCCTACTATGTGTTTATGTGGTCTATCTGATACAATAATGATGGCTTGTTGGACCAAGTCAATCGTTTTTTATGGATCAATTTATAACAGGTATTCAGACACTTATGTAATGCCTTTGTTCATTCGACCTGACCACAACACGCAAACTAATTGATGATCAATCATTTCAACAATATCCATCATCAAAAACATTGCAATCAAAGTCTTCAACATAGTCATCATTATCATCTATAGATCTAAATTTTTTTTTTTTTTTGTTTTCATCATTATACACTGCTGTTTTATGTGTGCTGAATTTCGTTGATCTATACATTGTTCAAATGTTACTTATCTCAATCAACAACATTCGAATGGACATTATCTTTTAAATTTTTGGCTTTACTTGTCAATTCAAGTCTAAAAATTCATTATCATTTCTCTTCTTTCATAGTCGTCGCCGGTCAATGAATCTGAAAATTTTTGCCATGTTCTGATTGGACCAATTTTTTCATGTGACAAATTAATTCATGTTCATTATTCATTGAATGAATGAACGATCTATCTATCTATAAATCTATCAATCTATGTATGTATAAATGTAGTCTGTTTAATCAGAAACATAGCCGAAATTCATCAAATAAATTTTCTCTGGCAATCACTATTGAGATGTCGCATCTGTATGTCTGTCTATTGAATGATCGCGGTGAATGTGAACGACGACCATCTCGATATCTCAACATTTGATATTGAATGGTAAAATATTCTTGTTGTGTGGCCTGTGTTCATCAATGAAATGGATACAAATTGATTCTGTGACATTGAAATTGTCACAGTCTCTCTCAACATATCATAATTCACTTTGAATTTGATCAATCCAAGCAAAAGTAATTATGAAATTCAAAAAACTCACCGATATCATCGGTGAATTCAATTCACTAGCTGTATCGAAAACTGAATTGGCAAAAAATGGTGGTGATGTTGGTCTCTGATGATGATGAGGATGATGAGAAACATTAGCACCATTCATAGTACCAAATTGCATTGCTTGATTGTTCATCAATTGTGAATGAGGCGATCGCCGTTGATGATTATGAAGGCTATTAATTGTTCGACTGATAATACCAGTGTTTGGTCCAGGTGATGAACTGCTAGTGGGCTGATCTAAATATACAGGAAACGAGGATGATGTTGATGAACGTTGCGATCCAGTCGATCCGGATCGTGTAATAATTGTTCCAGTTTCTGTTGGTCCATTTTTATCTAGAAAATAATGTGCTATAATTGAACAAATTATGTTTTTCAAAGACACAAAAACGAATCATTTACCGGAAGAGGAATTTGTCCGCGTTGAATGTGTTGAATAGATATTATGATTATCTGGATTATCCAAGCTACCCATGTAATGTTCTTTGCTATCTTTTTCACCATCAGATTCAGTTTCCTGATTTTGACGTTGTTGTTGTTGTTGTTTCACAAGATTTCGATGTTTAATCGACAACAAAAGAATTGTTGTTGTCAATACGACAAACACAAGAATCAATATGGCAATGGCAACGAATATGACAATTGTGGAAAAACTCGCTGTTGTCAATGAAGAAGAATTATGTTGTCATCGTAGCACAGAGTTTAGAAAACTTACTTTTTTCTTCTAACGACACTAGATGCCAATCCGAACCATAACTATTAACTACAACACAATTATAATAGCCGAAATCATTCTAATTTCGATCGAAATGTTTCATGTGAAAAAAACAAAACCCAGCTGAAATTAATGCGAATTACTTGGAGAAAAAAAAATTACCTCGAACGTTTGTCGAATATCAAATGATGTTCGTTGTACGACCATTTCTTCTTTTAGTGTTTCCTCGTGTATATCGATATTGATGGGAATATTGTTGGCTGATCCTGATGTGAAAATCTGTCCATTATGTATCCATGTAATGGCTATTGGTGATGGTACCGATTCGACTAGACATTCTAAATGTCCCGGTTCACCCAAAACCGCAAAGAAACGATTATTCTGCAATGATGACGATGACTTTTGTTTTGGATTTGTACCAAGATTATTATCATTAACTGGATAAAGTAGACTATAATATGATGATGTCGGTGACGGTGTTGATGATGATTGCTGTGCTTTCCGGATCTTTGGTGGACCTGCATATAATAATCATCAATCGAAATGAAACAAAACGATCAGATTTAAAAAAAATCTTGAAACTTGATCGATAATCATAATCATCATTATCCATCATCATGATATCTATGGCTATCTGTTTGTTGTTGTTATTATGAAAATAATGATGCTCTACACATATGATGATGATGATGATATTTAGATTATCGATCTCTTTTCTTTTCCCATTCGCGATATTCGGTTATTATCATGAAAAAACAAGACCAAATAAAACACTATCACTATCCAATGATGACGATATAATGATGATGATACCCCGAAACAACAACGATGTAAGCAACTAGCCAACAACAGTGCAATTAGCATTATTCCCCGTGTTTTTGTCTTTATCACACAATCTTTTCTTTTGGTCACTACAAACAAAATTGAAATGATTGCCCGCTGGCTTTTTTCCAAGTCGCACTTGTTGCTGTTGATGCTGTGTGTGAATCACGAACCTGTTGCGCGCGTAATAATTAACTTTTTTTTCTTTCTTTTCGTTTTTATCATCGGTATTTCGGTAGCCTATGCGATCTGTTTTTTTCGATTTCATTTCAAAGCCACACAAACAACGACTTTGAATCACTGGAAAATTAAAAACGGCAACAAGACAGTGGCCATTATCTTTTCTACGAAATGAAAATCTAGGAGGGTAAAACATTGTTAATAGTCATGAAAATGCTAGAAATGTCCATGACTACTGTATTTCAAAGGATCTCTGGCATACGGTCATAAAAATTGAATCGTTAATCGAATCTTAATGATTAGAACGTGAACAAACGACAACAATTTCTTTGCAATTGATGTTTTTCCATAACAATAAAGTTGCACGAACTTTGAAATGTTTTGATTTTCGAACAAAAATTCTAAAAGACACTTTTACCGAACGAATCGCCTTTTAATTCACGGTTATTCAATCATCATCTTGGTTGATCTATTCTTTATGGGTGTTTGGCAGTGAAAAATACTACAATGTAACCATATACCATTCATAGAGGGTAACCCGACTGTTGTCGTGCAGACCGTATAGAAAAAAATCGGCCAAAACTAGCTAGAGGATTCGAAAATCATAATTTACACCCTTGGTCTGTGTATTCACTTGCACGACATCATTATCGCACATCTTATAGAAACATTTGTAGATGTGTAAAAGCCAACAGCCAAGCATCTTAACCAACATTGTTGATTGTGGATTTGGATGGCCATCAAAATCGACACTAAAATTTTTTTTTCATAACTTAAAGTAGTAGCTTTATGTTTTTTATTTGATGCTATTCACATTCAAATTCTCATGGCACGTTTTCACATTACTACTACTCATTTGGTTACATTGTTGTTCATTTAATGTGATGGAGAAAATGGCGGGTTGGGTTTCACAAATGTATGTTTCAAATTCTATACAACAAAAAACATTTCTCTTTTTATCCTTGAACAAGAAAATTTTGTCATTCCATCAATACAATCGTTTTGAATTTGAATTCAAACTCAAACAAAACATACGCTGAAGGTCGTGAAATTCTGTGTGTGTGTGTGTGTGTATGTGTCTATTCTATTGAATGCTCGTGCAGTATATACATTATTAAATTATACAATTGAAAAGTACCGAAATGATTTCAAAGTGAACAGATAGAGATAGAAATTGTAGGTAGGTATTAATTATGGTTTTTGTTTAATTTTGATTTGATAATTGTCCAACAATTGTTGCCAATCCAACCATGTATTATACAATGGACATCTGTACTATGGATGTCGATGATGGATGAATTTTTTGTTTTTAATTTCCAGGATCATTTACATTTGAGAAAATCCTTCCACCATTCTTAATTCTTAATCTTTACCGAATATCGATTTTCACTTCCTTATAAACACAAATTTCTGCCATTGCTCAATCTCTCAATCAATATCAATATACTTTAATTAAGAGCACAAATCTTTTGCCACATCTCATCATTGTAATGGCTGAATTAGCGGGTGAAATGAAAAAAGGCAAAAGAGAGGCAGCCACTTATGAAATGTATCAGACAAACAAAACAAACAAATAAATGAGCCATTAGAGTTTGTTTGTTTAGAATCAATACATTGATCAGTTCCTGATTTGATTCATTCGTTCATTCATTCATTCATTATTCCATGTGTGTCTGGCTGTTTTCATAAGAATTTGTCATGTTGTTTTTACAAGCAAAATGATTACACTAGTACTTACCATTAATTCGAAGATAAATGATGGCCGAAATCTCTTGGAATCCTTTCACTGAAACTCGACATAAATATTCACCAACATTTCTTCTTGAACATTACGTATGGTCAATTTCGGACCAGTGCTCATCACTGAACTTGTGCCCACTTTAATCCATGTTATTTCTGGTGCAGGATTTCCATCCACTGGACAAGCTAATCGGACAGTATCACCAGGATTCGCACCATAAACATATTCAATTGTTGGCGAAAATGAAGGACCATATGCAATGTTCAATGTAATCGATGATTGTCCAGTACCGACTGGATTCGATACTTTGCATTGGATTTCGGCACCATTAAATGATTTGTCCACATTATCGATAACTAATTCATTGCCATGATCGCCAATGATAACTTCGTTATTACGTAACCATTCGTAAATCATGGAATTTTTGCCTGGATTGCCATCTGCCATACAACGGAATCGTATCGTATCGCCAACTCTGCCATGCAAATTCGACACACCAAACACTGACAAAGGCTGTGATGGCAATGTGTTGCCGTTATTATTATTATTATTATGAGCAACGACAATTCGTGACACTTCTAATTTAACTTCGGGTGCATATTTAACTTCTAACATAATGGCCGCCGTTGGTGTGGTCATCGATGAATTTATCGATGCGTATGGTGATGATGAAGCAAATGTAGGATGTGACGAACGACAATATAGACGTTTTTGATGATCACTTTTTGTCGGTTCAAACGTCCATTTTAAAGCCGTATTGAATCTTTTACCATCATTCATAGTCGTTATCTTTGTGGTAATGCCTTTTTTCACTACACGATTTCTTGAATTGATCCATGAAAGCTATTGAATGATAACGATAACGACAATAAAAAATCAAATCAGATTTTACATTTTACATTTTACATAAAAAATAAATGTCGGAAAGTGAATTGAAAGAAACAGGTAAAAAAATTAGATTAGATTTCGGACTTTGACCAAAAAAAAAGTTTTACTTTTTTCGATTTGTCATTATCAATTCGAATAAAAATCTTTTCTAGGAAATGGCTAATCATCATTGGCGAATCAGAAGCGTTGAATTTCACCAGGCACGCAAACCTTTTTCGGAATTACATTCGAAACGGAATCGATCATGCACGATCAATCATTGAATGAATGATCAATTGTTTTTTTGTTCAATTTTAAATTCAAAATTCAATTGAAATGAATAAATTTTTTTCCCTGTGCAAAAAATAATCAGCTCAGCTACCGTCGTGGTTTTCATGTAACAAATCAATATTCAACCAATAAATATTGAGGGGGTATCGATCAATCAATAAAGATGATGATGATCAAGACATCGGAGAGGAGTATGACTAACTTTGATTTAAATTTAATTAAATTACAACCATTTTAATGGTGGAGAAAACAAAAGAGTCTAATATATCGATTGAAGGGTGTACACTGTACACTGCACACACTCTATAAACATTTGCCATCAATTTATTGTGTTATCTATCAATCTAACGAAAATTGGTTTGGTAATTTGAATTCCAATGTCGATGGTTGATGGTGAAGATGATGATGATGACCACCATCAGTGTGTGTGTGTGTGTTTGTGCTGCGATCATCCTCATTATCATTACCGCACACAAGTGATTGAAAAATAATTCTGTGCTCTCTGCTCGTCGTTTTCTCATCATCTAAAAATCAATCTGGTTTTTTTCGTCAATTTTCTTGTTGTTGTTGTTGTTGTTTGCCATTCATTCATTTTCAAAGTTTATCATTTTTTCTTTCTCAGACTCATAATTCAAACATTTTTGTGTTTTTTTCTTGTTTGGATAAGCATGTGACCGACACACGAGACTGTGTGTTGTCCATGTTTTGACATGCAACTAAAATATTTACTTTGGTTCATCTTTGGTGACCAGAATGAAAAATACAGGTAGCCTAATCAATGATTTGTTCAAAATAATGAAATCGATGATCATTGATTTGAATGAAATAATTGAAAAAATTGTGCAAGTTTTAAAACAAACCTCAGCAGCAGGTCGACCACCATGTGATTCGCATGTTAATTCAATTTTGTTGCCCGCTGTGGTCGATAATAGTTGTACTTCTTGTTGTTGTAGATTATTATTATTTAGATGATGATGATATGGTACAAGATTACCCAAAACAATGACAGGATCATCGGGTCGTACACGTACGGTCAAACGTGCATTCTGTGATCGAATTCCTGGCACATTATCCAATGCACCAACTTGACATTGAAATGTGGCATCATCTTCCAGTGTTACTGATGATATTTTCAATGAATAATCGCCTGAAATGAAATTTTATAGAACAAAAATTAAATTAAATTAAATTAAATTCACAAATTTAAAACAGAAATGTTGAGATGTGATCACAATGATTGGTCACGATTGTAGTTTTCAAACGTTTTTTTCTTCTCAATCTTGACAAGAGAGATAAATGAAATTCATATCGATACAGATAAGGCACATGGGTTATATGCCAAATACGAAATTTCGCTAATTAGCTGCTGTTGTCTATCCATCTAAATGAAATCAGATTCCTCGTCAATCAATCACTCGAGTCTTATCATTATCATGATCTGTAGAATTTAATCCAGGAAAAATTCCTTATTTTATTTCGTAGAAATCAAGTCATCAAAATGGTGGTAATTTAGGCCAAATTATTATTGCTAATCCTTTGACAAACAAGGATCAATGAATTACCAAGACTGTATATCATTATGTCCTTCTTATCATTAACACTATCATTTCATTTCTAAGTTAAATTGGCAGTTTTTAATTTTTAAAAATAAATTTAGCACACACATGAATATCTCCAGTAATGAATGAATGTTTGCCATCTCTCTATATATGTTAGTTCTAATCTAATTCATTTCCATCGACAATTTTTACCAATAATCAATCGATTTTAGATGATTTACGATCAAAGAGTCAGACACGTTTGTCTTTTTGTTTCAATCAATCGAATCAGTTCAATGAGTTGATTTCATTTTAGCTCAATCGAACAAAATAAAATCAGATCATTATCATCATTGATTAAAGGGGATCGAGCTGTTTTTGTCCGACTATAGTTTTAATTTTGAAAACAAAAACAAAAACAAAAAATGAAATTAAATTAAATTTTCGCCCATCGAATCGAATGTGAAATGAAATCACACCTGACGTGTTTGAATGCTGAAACACTCACACCTGTTGCTTCACAAACATTCATGTTTTAATCAAGTGGTATCATCGACTCTGAAATTATAGCGAATCAAATCAAATTAATGAATTTAATGAAAACTTACCAGTAGCATCATTATGCATCATTGAATAGGTGGGAAATCCTTCCAATCGTGGATCAGCGCCAAGACCGAATCCATCTCGTGTCCCTATGAAAAAAAAGTTGAAAAATAAGAAAAAAAAACATACAAAAAATCATGACCTTTGGCATGACTATGTGATATCCATAGTTAATCTATAATGGGACCTGCAATCATTTTCTTGTGATTCACATTCATTTATTTTTGACTTTTATCTCGAGTGAACGAAAAGAAAAAAAATTTTTCTTTTCGTTTTGCAAATTCATATGTTGCTAATGGATTTTTTAAAAATTTAAAAATTTTTTTCCTGATGAATGAAAATTGTCAATTTTAAATTATCCAATCAAGATATATTCATGGTTATCGGCAAAAAAATGTCACCAAATCAAAAAGAAAATGGTGACAGAAATCTTAAAGGCGGCCATATCATATTGCTCTCTTGTTCGGAAGCATCAATAAAGCCGCCGTTTTTTGGATAATGATGACGATCTTTCAGGAGATCAACACTAGAAATTCAACGAGAAAATCACTTTTTCTTTATTCGATTTAATGAATATCAAATTTTGTTTCAATTCATTTTTTTCCACAATACAAACAACTTTAACTTTCAAACAAAAAGTGAAACCAAATGATCAGTTCAAACACTACTCCATCTTGGAATGAATGTTAGAATGGTAGAATGACTGGCTCAGCATGATAATCATCATCATCAGTAATTACAGGTAATATAAATTTGGCAGAAAAAATGACTTGATTGAATGTGAATTTTGTACTTGGTTGTGAGACCCTGATGTGAAAGATTCTTCTTCTTCAAAATAGAAAAGCATATGATGCCTGTAGCGTTTGTTTTTCACAGACAAAGAAAAACAAAAACATCAGTCTAATCTAAGAATATATAGGAAAAATCGTTTTTCCGAAAAGCATCACTATTTAAATTGAAAATAAAAAATCAAATGTTTCACATAAATCAAATGTTTCAAGTTTATAGTTCTGATGATTCTACAGGTCGTCGTTGTCGTGTGCTGTCGTTCGTATTTCGGTTGCTAAATCAAGGATGAAAAAATAAATTCATCCAACACAACATCAAAAAACAAAACAAAACAAAAAAAACTAATCCCTAACTCCACATACACACGAAGCTACTGTGTGTGTGTGGATGATTTGTCGCACGATATCTTTATCTCTTTTATCTTGGTGATCAATCTATCTCTATCATTCACCATAAATTGTCGACTTTGCTATCCTGGATGATTACCATCTGAAGGATTAAAAAAGTTTGTGATCCAGAAACAAATAAACAACAACATTAAAGTGTAAATAACGAGTTTGTGGTTATATAGTTTTACTGATCCAGTTTGATTGGTGATGAAATGGTGAAAATAAAAAAAAACTTACATTGAACAGTACCAGCTTTATTCGAAACACGACATGGTAATATAATCGATTCGCCAATATTAACGGTTAGATTTTCTGGTTCAATTAGAAATCTTTGCAATTTGATTGTGCTACTATGATGATGATGATGATGATGTGAATCTGACAGTGATGATGACTGTCGTTTAAAACGATCATTAATAATGATCATTTTTGTGGATGACGCATCAATCAAAGATGACATGCTCAACATTGCTTGTTGTTGTTGTTGTAGCTGTTGACATTGTGACATGTTTGTCATCATCATCATCATCATGATAATGAACGATAAACAATCCGTCCATGGGTGTTTCTTTCGTTTTTTATCGAACCATAATGAACCAATACTGCTGCTGTTGCTGCTGCTAGTTGTTATTGATATTGTCGGACACATCGTTTGTGGACAATTGAATTGATTAAATGAGACCATTTTTTCGCAGGTTGATGAATCTGATGATTTTTTCAATGATCGACTAGAATGATGATGATGATTTGAATCAAATTATAGTGATGGATAAGGCACTTGAATGATGTAGTCGGAAACGGAATAACGATAAAATAAATGATTGAATAAATGATTGATAATAATGATGATGATTGATTGATTGATTGATTGATGTTTGTGCAAATATTTGATTTTTTTTTGTAACGGAGTAATCGATTATTATTATTACTGCTTTTATGACCAATAATCAGCGTTGGCGAATGTTTGTGGTGGTCATCACTTTGTGATTGATGGAAGCTAGCAGGAATATAGGCCATTCACAATAATGACGATGACAACTGATGCAATGATCATCCATATTGATGTGGTTATTATTATCGATCATAGATAGATTTAAATTGCTACAAATCACGCAAAATAAAATGCTGAATGTTTTTAATTTTTCCATTTTTTTCGTCCATTGATAATGTTGAGCAGAGAGTGAAAAAAGAAATGAAAAGAAACAAACAAATTAATTCAATTGAAATGTGTTATATATTCACAACAACAACAACAAGTCATTTGGCAAAGACATTTATACATGATTTATTTGCCATATTGTTGCCAATATCGATTAGCCAAATGTTTGTATTTTGTCAAAGATAAACACCCATTACAAGTAAATGACATTGTAAAATTTGGGGCGTTATAACCACTCTAACACTAATCCACAAGCTGCTGCTGCTCAAGAATTGGCTGATCGAATGATGAATGAATGTGAAAAATACCGTGTGAAAATGAAATTAGAGTCTAGAAAAAGAATTTAGTGAGCACGATTTTGTTTGTTTCGATCATCATCATCATCATCATCTTTTACTAATTCGGATCTATAATCATTTGGGAAGAGAAAAACAGATCATCATGACAAGACCTCATGAATGTCATGAAAAACAAATGCCATTCCCAATAATAGTAGTGAATCGGTTAATCAAAAGATTTTCTTACGATTAAGATTTCGAAGAAAAAATTCATAACATCTGTCAATAATCTACAAATTGATGCTTTGATCACTTGTCAAGATGATGATGACAACAACATGAAATTTTCATTTCATCTATTTCCACGTTCGTTCACTCCGCCATGTATGTTTGATCTTTGTGTGTTTTTTCTCTGTTTTACCAACGTCCGTTTGTGTGCGTGTGTGTGTGTTAGTAGATGTTCGTGTGTGTTCTTGCAGATCATCATCATCAAAAATAGCCAAGGAACTGATGTTTGTTGATGATGGATCCATCATTCCGATCATGGTTTAATCTAGATTTTGGCTAATTAAAAATTATATTTAAAACATCATCGACATCGACAACAACAACTGTCCAAACGGGAATGAAAAGATTTGACCTGGAAAAAACTTTCCACAAAAAAAAAGAAATGGGAAAAAGCTTTGTGAGAAAAAAAAATGAAAATGTAACTTATACAAACACCACACAGTATTGATGATATTGGCTCGAATAAAATTTAATTTTATTTCCTCCACTTTCAGACTCGTTAATTTGAGTTTTATATAGGCACAAACTACATGTTGATACAAATGTTTGATGATGATGCTGAGAATAATGAAATTCGCCAAAATAAATAAACTGAAAATTGAAATATCTGATGACGATGATAATGATAATTGGAAAAAAGTGATGTGCGACAATTATGAATGCCATAAAAAATCATCATCATCATCATCATTTGAATTTTCGAATCGACGAAAGAAACAAGTAGATGCCTGTATAGTCAATTGGTGGGTGACAATTTTCAATGGAAATTGTCATCATAACAAAGCCTCGCAATCAGAAAAAAATTGAGAAAAACATTTGATACCTTTTAATTTATCCATTATGACCATTATCAGTTATAGGTCAAAGATACAATTACCTGGACACTATGAAATGACCATTAGTTTGGAATATTAAATACAGAATCCAAATGAAAAGATGTCAACAACATTGGCGAAGAAAAATGAAGAAAGAAAAAAATTTTTTATTGCTCAGTGGTTCTAATCAAGATTTTTATTTAAAAAATTTCAACTCAAAAAACGGGTCCCAAAATTTGACTTTCTTTGCTTTTTGGCCGCCTATGTCATTGAGAACGAAAATGTTCGGGCCATTTAGATAACCGAATGATGATTATCATTTCCAATTTCATCAAGTTTTTTCTTCATCGAACCAATAATTAAATGAAATTATCCAACATTATCAGCCATCATACACTTGTGGATATCGAGAAAAAAACTTTGCCTTATCATTCAAATCAATGATGTTCATGTCTGTGGCTACTGAACAAAAACGCTTGAAACTCAAGAAAAATATGGTGACATTTTCTGGATTTGAATTTTGAATTTTTCTTCCCCATTAAATTTTGCATACAAAAAAATGTGTTTTTTTTGTTGTTTTCAGTGATAATAAGATAAAAGCCCCATTTTTGGATCTAAATTGACAAGCGAGAAACATTGAAAATGAATGACTATGAGTATGATGACATTTGACACATAGTGAAAATCAGCATATGTGTGATTGACGTTTGGCTCGCGACTACTGTGTTGATGCATGTTATAACTTTTTTAGCCAAGAAAACATTGCCATTCAATTTATCATAGACTCAGTATACGAGTATGTGGATGATTTGTTTTTGTTGAAAAATCTGTTTGAAAACATTATGAAACGAATCATTATTTGTTTGGCAAATCAATACTATTTGGGGTGCCAATAAAAACATAACAACAAACATTGAATGCATCGATTAATTGTTTTTGATGGCCTGGAAGTTGTCAAACTAAAAACTTTTAAATGGCTGATAATGTCAAACATAACAACCAGTTATCGATGCAAAAGTAGGTGGATTTCAATTCAATATCATCATCAACATCTTGTATGTAAACATAGTTAAACAAATCGTTGATCAATCAATCACTATTAATGTATTGGGATTAACGTTTCAAACCGAACCCCTTTTCTGTATGGAATGAAAAACTGTCCTTTGGCATGTTGGATCAACCGACAAAACAAAAAAAACAATCATCATCATTATCATACATTCAAACATGGCCGTAAATTTCATTATTTCAATCATAGTTTCATGGAAAATGATGATGATGGACATAAAATGAGCTGCCATCACAAGAGAGAGGTCAATTTGATTCAATTTATGGTCAAATAAATTGAACAAAAACAACTATCAAAGGGGTCACCATGGCAAACACACACACAAAAATTGATGAATTTCCGCACGGTAACGTAACTTGTAATAATAATAAAAAATGGAAACAAAAGAACAAGGAATTCGAGTGAAAAAAAAGAAATTGGAAACTAATTTGCCATTATTTGTTTAATAATAATATCAAACTGACCGCTCCATAACCGAGCACTAGTATTTTGTTTCTATTCAACAATTCAAAACAAAACAAAAAACATCGAGGATGATGATGATGAGTGACCCTTCTGAATGGATGGATGTAAACCTCATGATGGACTCGGACCATCAACCATACTGATTGATTGGTCGGTCATTTGGTTGGTCGGTTGGTTGGTTGGTATATCGATCGATCTATAACCAGCAAAATTTGAAAAATTTTCAGAACCCTCGAATGTTGAGGTTACAGTTATCGAATAGCAGAATGATGTTGTGCATTCAGATTTTGATGATTGCATAAAGATAAGATACAGATTACAGTTTGGTGTTTGGGAAAATAAAGAAAATTTAAAAATTTCAACTTTATCACTACACAACTTGTTTGCAATCAAGTGTCAATGTTCAAAGTTCAACGATTCAACTAAATGGAATGAATCAACATACCAATAAAAGAATATGGTCGGAAAAAATCAAATCAAATCAAATCAAATGATGACTGAAACTTTTCCCGAACCACATATCGAATCATCGGCCAGGAACCGATAAAAAGAAGAGAAAAAATCGTGGTATCTGACTACTAAATTACTCTAAACAACAACAATTGATCAATTTGATTGTCCGAATAACATCATTGATGGTGAACAATTCAGATAAAAATGATGATGAATACCGTTCAAGTCATCAAGTAATCTTTTACGAACATTGCACTACTTCCGATCAACGAACAAACAAGCAAACAACAACAACAACAAAATGGCTCGATTGATTGATCGATTGGGAAAACCACCACCACCAATCAATCGTCAGTGTAATCAAATGAATTATACAATAGCTACATGATTGTAGTGTCATCATTGATATCGATCATGAACCATGGCTATCCATTCAACAACATTAAGATGATTGGGGCCGCGGCGGACGAATCGTTATTATTATGATGATGGTGATCATGGACAAGAATGGAGATCATTTTTTTTACCCATCTCCATTGAAAGAGAGTTTTTATGATCATCATTTTTATTCATTAAGATGTTTGTTGGTTTTTTTATTTCTTTTTTTTTGATTTTTTATGAAATAATCAATGAATTTATGAGAAATAAATGATTATTCTGTAAATATGATGGGTGCATGAAAAGAACCTTCCCGCTGTTTTCAAAAAAAGAACTCATTTTCATTGATTGATTGCTCGAATCGACGAATCAATTTTGTTCAAGATTGTTGTAAACTCATATGAATAATCAATTGGATAATTGAATTTTTCGTATTAAAAAATCGAAACATTGAGATTGGCCAGTGTTTTATTTTTTCACATGAAAAATTAAATGTTTTTCGTTTACTATATTATCAATGACATATGCGTGTGTGTGTGTGTGTGTGTGGCCGGATGAATATAACCGGCATGAATTTTTTTTGTTGCTATTTCAATTTTCATCTTGGTGGTCGACTGTTTTTCATTACTTGTTGTTATGGTCGTGTTTTCTCACACACACACACACACAAAGACACTCATTTTTTCTAATCGAATGAATGTAAAAATCTTACAAATTGAAACAAATTTATTTCTCAAGTTCGATGATCGATCGATTGATTATACAGACAAAATAATGAATACCAGCCATCACTATCAATGTATAGTAGTAGAGTAAGATATAATAAGAATCAAAAACCAAAAAACGGAAATTTTATTCGCACGACATTCGTATTTCACACAGCCATCACCATCAACACCAAAACTAGCACCAATAAAAACAAATTCGGGGTTTATTGTTGTTTTGTTCACACACACACACACACACACAGCAGCAGCAGCAGTAAGCAAGCAAATTCACAACTGTCATCGTCACTTTCCTCTTGCGTTTAGTGACAAAATTCGTGAAGAAAAAATAGAATTTTAATGGAAAAAACAAAGAAGCCTTATTGTTTTTCAATCGTGCGAAAGAAATAATTCAACAAGTGTGACAATTGTTGTTCTCTGTCAAATTGATCACATAAACTATCATTAATGTCGAATGGTATTAACATCGGAAGAATGTGTGTGTGTGTGTGTGTGTGTGTGTGACAATTACTGCCAAAATTAGCACCGATAATGAACTACCTGTTGAGTTGGAATTCACAGCTCTATAGTCAGATTGGAGAACACAAAACATTCTTGGTGGTCAATAGCCAAAGACCGAATCTTCGAAACTCGTCGCAGCTGTGCTAGCCATATCAAATTGATTATTTCGTACAAAATGTCATGTGGGAATCGATTTATCACGATAACCTTTACTGGCCATGAATTTCCATGTGTAAAATAGTGTGGACAATAATCAATCAATCAATGAGTGGACAAAACAGTGATTCACTGAATTGCATAATAATTTATATCAAAAAATATTGATCAATGTACAGATGCAAATTATGGATTCAACAACAATACGAACAATCGAAAAACGAAGCAAAACGCATCCTTGTCATTAATGAACTTTGGCCAAACATATCATCATCATCATCATCAGTGGTGATGAACCTGAATTTATAACTTACATTTGTATTCACTGATGTTCTGTGGATTATAATGATCAACTTTTTTGAATGTTTTTTCTCAATGTTCAACACACTTAAACACAAACCAAAAAAAGTGAAGAAAATGACAGGTCAACATCGAACGACGACCAAGAAAACCAAATTCCTTTCTTGATGACGATGTGATGTTCGGTTATGTTGTTTATTATGACGATGATGATGATTATCACAAGGAATCTCACTTTTGTAAACACAACACAACGATAATTGAAAATTGTAATCGATAAAACTTTTTTGATCAATTTCAATTTACTGATGTTAATGTTAATGTTAATGTTTATGTTTATGGTTATAATGGTGATAAATTCTGTCTTCTCTCACTCACTCTTGTGACACTTGTGGCATAAATCAAATGGAGAAAAAATTCACCCGTTGCACTACCAAATTCATGTTTGTAGCAAATATAATCCAATGGGTGATTTGTGGTGATCATTAACTACATAGACGATATAAAAAATAAAAACTAAATGATCATGATTCAATATGACAAGATTCGGATATGAATTCATCGATTTGTGTTGATGATGATGTTGATCACTTTCGACACCGACATCAACGACATGATTGTGAAATGCACTGAGATATACACACTAGCACAAACACACACTTGACCAAAGAAGAAAAAAATGACCACTTAAATAAACACAAATACACAAGATGGTGATTGGAACAAAAAATGAAAATTAATTTAATATATCGATCGATTGGCAAACATGTCGATCATCATCAGTGGCAGAATTTAAGTTTGAAAACTAAACAACGTGCCAATCAACGACCACAACGAAGATCCACACACATCGGATACTAGATTCGTACTGAATGTACAAGAGCGCAATTCAGACACAGTGATTGTGAATGCAGCTAGTTTATTGTTTGAAAGAATGTTGTGTCAGTCATGGATACAGACCACTGCCAAGGAAAATGTTGTGAAGAGAAACACTTGACTTGTTCTGCCTGTGGTATCGTATCGTATCCATTGAAAAACCAAATCTTCGAAGCCAAGCTTTCAATTGTTGAATTCAGCTTCGGGCAATCACGAGCTTAAGTTTTTTTTTTCTTATCAGCCTAGTTCTCTATGTGGCAAATGGGGGCCAAACATTTTTAGTTTTCAAGAATTTTCTGGTTCGAATTGTTTTTTTCTTTCTCATTTTCACACATAGAAACTTTCTTATTGTTACTTGTTGAAATGATGATTTTGAAATGGGAAAATATAATCATCACGGGCATTTGTCAAAGATTTAAAAAACCCTGGGACCAAGAAGATGTTCAAACAATAAAATAAAATGAAAATGAAAAATGAAATTTGCAAGTCTCTCGCACATACGTATGGATGAATGAAGATCATTAATTTTCTTATTTATATAATGACCATAAGATGATTATTATTATTATGAATTGATTGACGAACAAATGTGTGGTTCATCAATGGTTGTTTGTTGTCCATCATCGATTAGATTAGATGATTATTACACCTTGATACACGCAATCTCAACGGCCATTTATTGTCATCATCATCATCAATTGGGCAAGGCTTGGTAGATGTTTAGGCTAGTTAGACGAATTAGTTAGTGAATGAAATTATCAAATTCGTGTTTGTGTGAGGTATCATTAAGATGATAATACGAGAATGTGAAATTAACTTATCGATCAGGCACCAACAAAATCGATTCATTCAGCAAATATTTGTTGAATTAAATCAATCATTGAACAAAATTATTACAGGATATTATTATCATCAACTCGATGAAATTCATTGAATGATTATTGACCTTCGAATGAACCAACAACAACAACAACAACAACATTTAAATTTTCAAAAACATGACACCTGTTGCTATGTGAAAGTATTCGAAAAACTGCGGTTCCTGTATGATCAATTTCAAATTCAATGCACGCAACGAATAAACAAAACAGGTTCCATGCATACAATATTTTGTCATCAATTAAATGATTTGTCTTGTTAATTATGATCATCATGACCATTGGAACATAAAGGATTGATTTTATGTTGGAATCGGCACTTGCAATCAACATTTTTTATGACTTTTAATTTTAAAAACAAAAACAATAACCACGCATTATCATGTTGATAATGATTGTTGTTGTCATAATCATTGATCACATATCAAGACAGATGGATAGCGATATTGTTGCCCCTTCGACGAAATTATTACAGGATATTATTATCATCAACTCGATGAAATTCATTGAATGATTATTGACCTTCGAATGAACAACAACAACAACAACAACAACATTTAAATTTTCAAAACATGACACCTGTTGCTATGTGAAAGTATTCGAAAATTGTTCCATGCATACAATATTTTGTCATCAATTAAATGATTTGTCTTGTTAATTATGATCATCTTGACCATTGGAACATAAAGGATTGATTTTATGTTGGAATCGGCACTTGCAATCAACATTTTTATGACTTTTAATTTTAAAAACAAAAACAATAACCACGCATTATCATGTTGATAATGATTGTTGTTGTCATAATCATTGATCACATATCAAGACAGATGGATAGCGATATTGTTATTGAGCTTGATTTACCGATCATCTTATGGCAATAAACTAAAATGCTTTTTTCGAGAATAACTTGACGACCACCGACAGAGGAGTTGTGGAAAATGATTATCATTATGGCCATCATTATGAGGAAAAAATATCATCACGAGACATACTAATAATAATGATGATGGTAGTGTTAATGGTGTGTGTATAAGTGTGTGATCAAATCTTGGAAGAATTTAAATCATCTTGGAACACAAGTATTTCTAATCGATGTTTAGCACTATTATTTGCATAAAGCCGTTTTGAATGGAACGAATGTTTTTTTTTGAAAAGACATCATTATATGAAATGAATGAATGAAGGGTCAAATGGTTATGAATGGCCACCACACGCCATTAACACCTTCATTATGGATAATGATGATGATGATGATCTTATCGTTTATTCATCATCACTAATTTTAAATCCCAAAAAATGGATCATTATCACCGCCGTCATCATCATTATAATTTTGATTCATTATTATTCATCATCAATGGTCTTGATAATGAAGTAGTGAAAAAAAACCGGCCTAACCAAAAAAAAAAGAAAAGAAATTGGGAGTCATCCAGATGAAAAAATGTGAACAAAAAAACCTCTAAAAACCCACTTGAAATTGAGAATTTTTTCTTTTAATTTTTTATTATTTGCTCCAGAAAAAACATCATTACTTGTGAGGATGATGTTTGTCAGTCGTTGTTGTTGTTGTTGTTAGTGTTGAAAATTTATTTATTTATGTTTCTTTCCACCGCTGTTGTTAATGAATTCATTCTTCATTCATTCATTGGAAATAAAATGCAAAAGAGTGATGTTCCTTCTAATTGATTCATCATTAATGAATGTCTATGATACATGCACATGATGGATTCAGGCGATCCCGATGATGATGTTGTCGACACGTTAATAAATCGATTTTCGATTCTATTTTAAGGCTATACCGTTGTTGTTGCTTCGTGCCATCACTATCGTCATCATCATCATCATCATCATCATCATGATCGACGACGATGACTAGAAGCATGATGGGGAAAAACACCCTTAAACGCAAGTGAAAAATTTTAGCCGAGAATAAAAATCAATTTTGCTATTTTCGGACATGTCAATTTTGGTATCATCATCGAATGGATGCTGCAATCTGTTATTATGGTTGTCTTTATGGACAACAAAAACAAGTGTGAAAGTGAATGAACCTAATCCAAGAAAAGAAAATACACATCAAATGAGTTTGATGGAATCAAGAAGATTCTGTATCGGAACTTTGTCTCGGATCTAACATGCACTCATACACTCATCATGCACTATGGTCGTGGAACTATGAAGAAGAAGAAGAAGAAATGCGCATTGATAATGTTCAATGTAAACAAAGTGTCATGTGTGATGAAGAGAGCGAAAGAAAAAACGAAACAATCACCAAAATGAATGTGAATCGATACATGCATGTATTATTATGGTAATGGTGTCTGGTTTCGTTTTTCGGCCAATCAATAGATATTGGTCCAAACAATAATAATAAATCCAATTCTCACAAACAAATCGATCATGATTCAAAGCCGAAACTTGTGTTCCAATCACGATGGTGTCGAATGAATGATTTTTATTCTGATTTTTAGCATATTTTCTTATTTGGTCGTTTTGTTTTGTTTTGAAAACATTCAACATGTAAACTATCGTGATTTTTCAGCTTCAAAATAGACAGCCATCATCAGCCTCAACATCAAACTGTCAATGTTTGTTTGGAGAAATTCTGCATTTCGATTTGTGTTTGTTTTCACTGTTTTTGTTTTTTAGTGTTTCCCTTTCATTTATGTTTCAAATGAAAGAATCAAGAGTTTTGTCGTGGACAATGTAAATATTTAGACATTTCAATTCTCAATATCATTATTATTGGACTGGAAAATTTGATTTTTTCAAATCAAAGTAAAGCCATACATTGGTATTTGTAAAATGACATGGTTAACACCGAGGTATTGATTGCAGATTTACAAATCGATAGAAAATCTTGGTTATAAACCCAAATGACCAGAAAAACTATGAGAACTTTGCCAATTGTTTTGTCGATGTTTTTTTGTGTTTGTTCTATATACATCACATTACACAGCAGGCACAATATACTAAACATTAAGAAAGATAAAATCTGGGCTAGAAAAACAAATTGCGAAAAAAAGAATGTAAAGAATTTGTTTATTTAATCGTTTTTCACACGTTCATTGTTCCAATTTCTTTTCACTTTAACTTGTGTGCCTTTTTTGTTTTATTTATGTTTTGTTTTGTTATAGAAAACTATTTTTGCCAAAAAAATTGACATTTCAAATTCTCGAAATTAAATGATGGATTGATGTACGTCCTTAATGAACAACGTTGGCAGCCTGTGTTTATTTTGATTTTTTTTCTTCGTTAAACTCGTGATTTTCCAAAATTGCATCATTTTAATGTGATTTGAATGATTTATTTTTAAAACAATTTCGATTCGAACTGGAAAAATGGATCCAAATCCATTTGATGGCAATCCATCATCATCATCAGCGTTTAGGATTTTCGATAATTTAAAACCCAATCAAATAGAATCACCATTTTTGAATCGATCGTTGCAATTACCCGATCAATTTGCCTCTGAATTTATCGTTCCCGAAGGTACGGCTCGTAATCGTGGCCGTTTTGAATTGGCATTCTCACAGATTGGTGGTGCCGTTATGGTTGGTTCAGGTGTTGGCGGTGCTGTTGGCACCTATAAAGGATTGAAAGAAGTGTCACAATTGGAGGCATTTTTATCGGTGAAACGAACACAATTGCTCAATTATATCACACGTAATGGTGCCAGAATGGCCAATACATTCGGAACAATTGCTCTCACATATTCGGCCATTGGTGTGGCACTTAGTTTTGTTCAAGAAGATAATGATGATATCAATACAATGGCATCAGCAGTGACAACTGGTGCATTATATGGTGCATTGACTAAACCGAAAACCATTACCGATACTGCCAATATTTCGTCGAAATTGATGTGGAAAATGCGAGCAAAACGTTCCGGTATCGGATCATTGATCGGAATACTAGCTGCCGGTGGTTATATTCTATTGTTTAACCGTGAAAAATATTTGGCCAACAATCGTTATTAAATTTTGTGATTTTCGATTTTTTCAAATTCAAAATAAAATTCGTCGATTTTGTTTTATTCGTAATTGTTGTGTGTGTGTGTGTGTTGAATGAAAGAAGAATGGAACCAGCGAAAATTGAAAAATTTTTCGAAATAATCTTTCTTTATAAAGGTCGATATCCAATACGTCGTACACATCATAATGAAGAATATCGTGAGGAGAAAATTTACAATTTTTGGCTCGAATTTGATGAAAAATTAACCTGGATTTGGTTGTCGATGCAACGCGTCTACTATTCATTTCTATGTCAATCATCGAAATCGATGGAAATTACGTTTGGTATATAGCTGCTAATTTGATTTAACTTGATTTGATTTCTGTGTCTTTTTCTTTCTCTTTATAGATCGAATCATTTCATTGTTTGCTTTTTGTCCGCCTCATGATACCTATGCATACAATTTCGATCATCATCTGGGCCCAGGTAATATTGCTGTTGATCAATATGATCTGAAAAAATTGACTGGAGAAATTTTACTTAGCCATTTTGTTGCTAGTCCGAATAATCATAAATTACGTGATATTTATCAACAAAAGTTTGTTCGAATCGCAAAATACATTCAATGTTTCTATGCCTACAATCGATTCGGTAATCGCATTGCCTGTATTTATATTAGACAAAGTTTGAAAAAATCAGAATCAGTGAAACAAACTATTGTCTATAGTCATACGAATGCCGAAGATATTGGAACAATACTGAGCCATTTATGGAAAATGAAACGTAAAATTAAAAGCTGTAATGTTTTTGCCTATGATTATTCTGGCTATGGAATGAGCAGTGGTTCGCCTTCTGAAAGAAATCTATATGCTGATATTGAAGCGGCAACCAATGAATTGATGAATCGTAAAAACATTCGGCCAAAAGATTTGATTTTATTTGGCGAAAGCATTGGATCGGCACCCACTATTCATATGGCTGCTAAACGAATTGAAGCACGTGGTGTGATTCTTCAATCATCATTCATGTCTGGGATTCGAATCTATTTTCCATACAACATGTCGGGAGGTGAAACACTTCCTTTTGATCCATTTGCCAATATTGATCGATGTTCATTGATTGAAAGTCCAACTTTAGTTATTCATGGCAGTGAAGATATGCTTGTCAATATTGGCCATGCAATCACAATTTATGAACATTTGAAAAATCCTGTACAACCATTCTGGGCGAATGGTGCATCACATATGAATATTCATAAACATCCCGATTACTATGATCGTCTTAATAATTTTCTTGAATCACTCTAAACTTTTTCCCTTTTAATTTAATTAAATTATAAATAAACAATAAAAATAATATTCAAATCAATAATCAATAAATATTTTGTTTTTGCAAACAAATCATTACCACTTTTATGAAGAGGCAATGTGTGAAAGAAATAAAAAAAAAAAAAACTCATCGAAATTCTTCCGTTCTACATATTATTCTGCTCATACACACACAGCAGAATGTTAAAAAAATGCTTAAAAAAGAAATCAAAAGAATAAAAAGAATTTCAAATTCATTCATACATTATACGATTCGGGAAATGATTTTTCGCCTTCTTTCTATGGCAGTTCTCTCTCTCTCTCGAATTGAAATGTCTAAAATTAACTTCATTTTTCACCATCATTTCAGATGACGAAAAACAAAACAATAACAAAATGAGAAGAATATTCAAACTACACCAATACTTGATCATGATGGCTGATGTATGTAAATGAAGAAGAAGCTGTAATGCATGCATATAACACACATTGACGTTTTTATCATCCACATTCAATTCAAATGTAATGTGTAATGTTCATGGCATTCGATTTTTAACATCGCTTTTAGTTTAGGTCATACAATACATCACCAACATCGCCGTCATAAAATCAACAGTTGAAAAAAAAACTCAACGAAAACCAGAAATCAGTGTGAATATGCCGGTGTAAATTTTATCGTTACCGTAATATCATTACAGTCATGCATGAATGAATGATGCTGTTCTGAATATACTTGTTGTTGTTGTTCTTGTTGATTATTATTGAACCCATGTGATTTTCTGATCGATCAATTGATTGAAAACAAAACAAAAAAAAGTTCAAAAATTAAATCAACAAACAAACCATCCATCGTTAACTGACTGACATCATCATCATTGACAAATTTTTAGAGCAATTATCATCCATTCTGTCGATGTAGTGTGTGTTTTATTTTTTGTTTTTCATGTTATAATTATTGTTGGCATCGAATAAATTTTACAACACAATGTTTAACCCGAAAATTGGCCATTAATTATAAACGAATCGAATAACGTTGTTCACTTTAATCACCATCTGATCATTAGAAGGAATGGCCGACGAAGGTTCTGAACAGGATGATATATCATTCTTACGAACGGTATGCTAGAATTCTGTAACATTCTTTTCACGGTAGAATCTTTTTTTTTGCACAGGATGATATGGTATGTCTACAACATGGTGCCACTAATAATCGTGTATGTTTGGCAGCCGAAGGTTTCGGTAATCGCCATTGTTTTCTGGAAAACATTGCCGATAAGAATCTACCGCCAGAAATATCGTCCTGTGTATTTGTCATCGAACAAGCGTTATCGGTTCGTGCATTGCAGGAAATGGTCACTGCTGAACAGGCTGCAGCCGAAAATGAAGGCGAAGAAAGTAAATCAAGTGCAGCCGGTGGACATCGAACATTGTTGTATGGTCATGCCGTGCTACTTCGCCATGGTCACTCAAACATGTATCTGGCATGTTTGTCGACCAGTTCGAGCAAGGATAAATTATCGTTCGATGTTGGTCTTCGCGAAAATTCACAAGGTGAAGCCTGTTGGTGGACAATTCATCCGGCCTCGAAACAACGATCGGAAGGTGAAAAAGTTCGTGTCGGTGATGATTTGATTCTCGTATCGGTAGCTACTGAACGATATTTACATACGGCCTTGGAAGGTGAACAATACATTGTGAATGCTTCGTTCCATCAGACACATTGGTCAATTGCACCGTTTGGTACCGGAACTTCGAGAGCAAAAAATGTAGGATTTGTTTTTGGCGGAGAAGTGTTGCGTTTCTTTCATGGCGGTGATGAATGTCTCACTGTACCTACAAATTGGTCCGATACCAGTGAACAGAACACTGTTGTCTATGAAGGTGGTGCCGTATTCAATCAAGCTCGTAGTCTTTGGCGTCTAGATCTTGCTCGAACCAAATGGTAAGGTTCCTCTTGTAACAAAATCTAAAACATTCATTTTTATCCTTCTTTAGGTCCGGTGGATTCATCATATGGGGACATCCTCTACGTATACATCATATTACTACCGGCAGATATTTGGGTATCAATGAAAACAATGAAATCTGCCTGTTATCACGTGAAGAAGCCACCATTGAACGAGCTGCATTCTGTTTGAAAGCAAACAAAGAGAAAAACAAAGACGATAAAAGAGATATTGATGAAAAAGATGAAGAAATCATTGGCTCACCACTGATTAAATTTGGCGATACAACTGTCTATGTTCAACACGTTGAAACTGGATTGTGGCTTAGCTATAAAACGTATGAAACGAAAAAACGTGGAGTCGGTAAAGTGGAAGAGAAACAAGCCATCATGTCCGAAGAAGGTAAAATGGATGATGGTCTCGAAGTTTTCACGATCACAGGAAGAAGAAGCAAAAACTGCACGCGTGATTCGAAAATGTGAAACGCAATTCAATAGTTTCGTACAGATTCTCAATTCATTACATTCATCACGAACAACGCAACGTGCACATCGACTTTCGCGTTCACCATCACCTGCACCACCTGGAGCACAAGTTCCTCTGCCAACTGCATCAAACCCGTCAACACCGGCAAATGCACCATTGTTTAGTGATGCTGATCAGGAAGGAATGATCATGTGCCTGGAAGATCTCATTAATTATTTTGCCCAACCCGACGAAGATTGTGATCACGAAGAAAGACAGAATCGCCTGAAAGCTTTGCGAAATCGACAGGATTTATTTCAAGAAGAAGGCATTTTGAATCTGATTCTAGAAGCCGTAGACAAAATGAACATAATAACCACACAAGGTCTATTGACCGCTTTAGTGGGTGAAGAAAGTAGCTCGAACTGGGATACAATAACCAATTACCTTTATCAACTGCTCGCCGCAATCATCAAAGGAAATCATACGAATTGTGCACATTTTGCTCAATCACATCGATTGGATTGGCTTTTCTCATCATTATCATCGCAGCAAGCAAGCGAAGGAACTGGAATGTTGGATGTATTGCATTGTGTCCTGATCGATTCGCCAGAAGCATTGAATATGATGAAAGAGAATCACATCAAGGTGATTATTTCATTGCTTGAGAAACATGGTCGTGATCCAAAAGTATTGGATGTTCTTTGTTCACTTTGTGTTGGCAATGGTGTTGCCGTTCGCTCCTCACAGAATAATATCTGTGACAACCTGTTGCCTAGTAAAAATTTGCTATTGCAAACCAAACTAATCGACCGTGTTGCATCGATGCGTCCGAATATTTATGTGGGCAAAGTAGAAAATTCAGCCATGTATCGTAAATGGTATTTCGAAGTAATGATCGATCATATTGAAATGGTTTCACATTTGGAGCCACATTTTCGAGTCGGTTGGGCCAACACTAATGGCTATGTTCCATATCCAAGTGGTGGTTCCAAATGGGGTGGAAATGGAGTTGGCGATGATCTTTATTCATTCGGTTTTGATGGAACCTACATATGGACATGTGGACGAGCAAACCTGGTGCGTAATGTTTCATCAGATCAGTGGCCAATTGTGAAAAACAATGTTATCGGTTGTATTCTCGATCTTAATATACCGCTCATTACTTTCACTGTGAATGGTATACCGATTCGTGGCTGTTTTAAAAATTTCAACGCTGATGGAATGTTTTATCCAGTCATCAGTTTCAGTGCAAAGTATTCCTGTCGATTTCTATTTGGTGGTGATCATGGCCGGCTCAAATTTGGCCCACCACAAGGACATTCACCAATCATTCAGACATTATTACCGTTGCAAGAATTGAATATTGAACCATGCTTTCAATTTGGTGATCTAGTCAAAGGGGTTATCTTTGGACCGAACGTAGAATTATTCGATGATGCTGCTTTCGTACCGAAACCGGTAGATACAAATGAAATCAGTCTGCCTTCCTATATTGAATCAGTACGTGATAAATTGGCCGAAAATACACATGAAGTTTGGTCGATGAATAAAATTGAACAGAGTTGGGTGTATGCCGAAACACGTGATGATATTGCCAAAACTCATCCTTGTCTCACATCATTCGAACGGTTGCCGTTGAATGAGAAAAAATATGACACAACTTTGGCTCTTCAAACATTGAAAACAATAATTGCAATCGGATATCGAATCACAGTGGATAAAACTCCATCGAGAATCAAATCGATTCGTCTACCGAACGATCCTTATCTACAATCGAATGGTTATAAACCGGCACCAATGGATCTTTCACAAATTGAGCTCACTGCTAAAATGAACACATTGGTCGATCTTTTGGCAGAAAATACACACAACGTATGGGCAAAGGAACGAATCTCGCAAGGTTGGACATATGGTCGCCTAGAAGATCATTTGATGCGTCGTAGTCCACATTTGGTTCCATATAAATTGGTGGATGATGTTATTAAGAAAGCCAATCGAGATACAGCTACAGAAACAGTGAAAACATTGATTGCATATGGTTATAATCTGGAACCACCGAGCGGTGATGCTGCAGCTGAATCGGCCAACATATTCGGCAAAAAGGATCAAACCAAATATGATTTCCGATCTTATCGGGCAGAGAAAACGTATGCTGTGACTAATGGTAAATGGTATTATGAAGTGGAAATTCTATCCGAAGGTCCAATCAAACTTGGGTGGTCACGAACATCATTCTCACCGCATTTCGAACTTGGTGGTGATGAAAATTCCTTTGCATACGATTGTTTGCATGCGAAAAAATGTTTTGCCAACAGTTCAGAAGCATTTGGCAAACAAGTTCAAATTGGCGATGTTGTTGGCTGTATGCTCGACTTGAATGATCGTATCATTTCGTTCAGTTTAAATGGTGAATTATTATTGGATTCGGTTGGTAGTGAAGCTGCATTTGCTGAATTGACCATACCGACAGATGCTGGCTACGTTCCAGCATTCACATTGGGTGTTTATCAAAAAATTCGTCTAATCTGTGGTCAAGATGTGAATCAATTGAAATATTTCACCCAGTGTGGTCTACAAGAAGGTTATCAGCCATTCTGCGTGAATATGAATCGTAATATGACTTTCTGGTATAACAAAGATGAACCCATCTTTTGCGATGTGGATGATAATTCCAACATTGAAGTGACACGAATACCGGCTGGCAGTGATTCAAGCCCGGCGCTAAAATTATCACATAAATTATTCGAAACACAAGAGAAAGCTAGCTGGGAATTTGTTCGTCTTTCGTTGCCCGTACAAATAAATGATTTTCTTATCGATGAACTGGAAAGATCATCCAGATGGGAGGAAATCAAGCGTCGAATTCAACGTAATCGCAATGCTGGATACATTCATCCTGCTCGTCTCGAACAACATATGCTGAAATCAGGTTTCTCCATTTCTGATGTCAAAGAATTGAATCGAGCATATTCCGATACGGGTGAAACGGACGAAGCAATCGATTCTATGAATCAACAACAACAACAACAACAACAGCAGCAGCAGGCAACTTCATGGATGAAACGTAAACAAAGTGCATTGGTCAAAACAAAATCATTTGAAAATGAGCTAAAAGTTCCCACTGTGCAAGAAGCTCAGGCTATGATGGCAATGACATCACCGAAAACTCGATCCACCAGTGTTGAAGCATTGAATCGTGCAGCTAAAAGCCAACAACAACATCTTGATGGAGTAACGGATCCAAAAATTCGTAGTAAATCACCGTTTCGATTTTTGAGAAGTAAAAAAGATGAAAAAGCTGAACAGGAAAAACAACGAAAACGACAGGTTGGACGTGCCCAGGAAATCGGTACAGGATTATTACAGGCTCCCCCCATAGATGTTAGTAATGCATCGTTTCGTGGATTACAACCACCTTTTCCGACAAGTACGATTGGTCGTCGTCGATCTACTATTGCAGCTGCTGCTGGTTCTGGTGGTCGACGTGGTTCGAGAGTTAAAATGGAAACCGAAACATTGCCCGACGAAACGAATGATTTATTGGACGAAACTGTTCTGGATTTGGTCGATGAATATTTTTATGGTCTTCGTATATTTCCTGGCCAGGATCCCAATCATGTTTATGTTGGTTGGGTGACACCAAATTTCAAACATTTCGATAAAACATTCGATTCAGCCATGATAAAAAAAGTTACACTTCAAGTTTGGAGTGAAACCGGACAACTGTCGGATTATTTTGATCGACAAAATTGTTACATGTTGAATGCAGGCAAAATGTATGCCGAAGTTCATGAGGATGAAGCACAGCAAGGATCCCGATCGAATCAAGGCATGTTTATTGGCTGTCATGTGGATACGGCCAGCGGAGTCATCACATTTATGGCCGATGGTAAATCGATCAAACATAAATTTCGTATCGAACCCGGTATCAAACTATTTCCGGCCATCATATTCGAAGCAACATCTAAAGAATGTCTTCAATTTGAATTAGGTCGCACACCGACCACTTTACCATTGTCATCGGCAATATTGAAAACTAGTAGAAAACATTTGACACCGCAATGTCCACCTAGACTTCGTGTGCAATACTTACAGGCTTATCAATGGTCTCGAGTGCCGAATCAATCGTTGCGGCCACATTCATTGAAACTGTCTGACATTCGTGGCTGGTCAATGTTATGTGAAGATCCAGTCTCACAATTGGTGATTCATGTGCCTGAAGAAGATCGTTGTATCGATATTCTAGAATTGATTGAAAATGAAAAATTTCTTCAATTTCATTCACATACATTGGCATTGTATGGTGCACTCTGTTTTCAGGTAATAATCGTGCTGCACATATCATCTGCGATCATGTGGATGAAAAACAATTACTCTACGCCATTCAGTCGGAATACATGTCTGGCCCATTGCGTACTGGATTCGCTGATCTTCTTATCGATTTACATCTAGAGATTCATGCTAATGCTCGTAATTTGACACAGAATGAATTCATTTTGCCAGTTAATGATGGCCTTCGACGTCTCTATTTGGATGAACGAATGATTCATTCCATTTCATCATTGAATTGTGTTTCGATTCGGCCAAAAATGACAATGAACGAACGTAATGAGAAAAACTATTCAATTCGTGATATGGCCAGTCCATTCTTTCCAGTCAATGTGCTCAAACAATTCGTAATGGAAGCATTGGATGATGCTGTCAAAAAAGGAAATCGACCAAATCGTGATCCGATCGGGGGATCAAATGAAAATCTTTTCGTCCCATTGATCAAATTGGCGGATAAATTGTTATTGATTGGCTGTATTGACGATATGGATCTTGAACGAATTTTGATTCTAATCGATCCGGAAACATTCGATCCTGATTACGATTTCAATGCGAATCCGCGAATGAAAGGTCTGATACAGATGAGCTTGGATGAAGGTGTTCAACTACAGATGACATATATTCTACATCATCTGATGGATTTACAACTGAGACATCGTGTTGAAGCAATTGTAGCGTTCAGTTCGAGTTATGTCAAAGATTTACAGACTGACCAGTTACGTCGTTACATTGAAATCAAACAAGAAGATATGCCAGCAGCTGTGGCGGCGAAAAAAACCAGAGAATTTCGTTGTACACCACAAGAACAAATGCGTACGATTTTATCGTTTAAAAATCAAGATGAAGAAAACCAGGAACTATGTCCAACACGAGATGAACTCAAGGAATTCTTGAACAATTTCCATGAGAAAATTATGCATAAAATCAACGTTGTTCGACATGAAGATGATTCTGATTCGGATTCTGGTATCGGCGACGTCGGTTCATCGCGTTCATGGTCAAGTAAACTGTTCAATCTGGTCAACAATGTCAAATCATTTGGACAGAAACTTGAAATGTTTGTCGAGAAAGCGAAAGAACCACCAGAAGATGTACTGGTGAAAAAGATTGTCACCACAATCATATCGTGGGCTGAAGAAACCGAATTAGAAAGAAACGAACTGATCAGACAAATGTTTTATCTGTTACTTCGTTGCTATAATGGTATTGGCACGCTAATGGAAGCCCTAAGCAACACGTATGTAATGAGCGATCAATCCAAAAGTGATGTAGAAGATCTTCTTCAACATTTGAACATTGTCCGAGCTTTGTTGCCCGTACAGATGGGCCCAGAGGAAGAAGAAGTGATGAGACAAGCACTGTGGACTATGGTTAATAATCGAATATTTTTCCAACATCCAGATCTGATTCGAATTTTACGCGTCCACGAAAACGTTATGGATGTCATGATGAATACGTTGAAGAAACAAAAATCCGATGATCAAACCTCGAAAAGTTCTGATTCCATATCCGAAATGGTTGTCGCTTGTTGTCGATTTTTGTGCTTTTTCTGTCGTTCGGGTAAAAAGAATCAAAAGGCCATGTTTGATCATTTGGATTTTCTACTAGAACATTCAAACATTCTACTATCACGACCATCACTTCGTGGTACCACTCCATTGGATGTTGCCTATTCGTCGTTGATGGAAAATCCCGAACTTGCATTGGCTTTGCGTGAAAATTATCTGGAAAAGATTGCCATTTACCTGTCTAGATGTGGCTTACAATCGAATCAAGAATTAATTGACAAAGGATATCCAGATGTTGGATGGGATCCAGTCGAAGGTGAACGTTATCTTGATTTTTTGCGTTTCTGTGTTTGGGTCAATGGTGAATCGGTGGAAGAGAATGCTAATCTTGTCATTCGATTACTGATTCGACGACCCGAATGTCTTGGTCCAGCACTACGTGGTGAAGGACAAGGTTTGATGGCCGCCATCAAAGAAGCGATTGTCATGTCCGAAAGAATTTCGAAAGAACGTCAACATCAGCAACAAATGTCGATGCCCGGTAAAGAAATCGAAGAAGATGAAGATTATATTGACATGGGCTCGGCTATCTTGAATTTCTATTGTACGTTGGTCGATGTTCTTGGTCGTTGTGCACCAGAAGCGGCTACCATTGCACAGGGCAAGAATGAATGTCTTCGTACACGTGCTATTCTTCGTTCATTAGTGCCCATTGAAGACCTTGAAGGTGTTTTATCATTGAGATTTACGTTGACCAATAATTCGGAAGGCAAATCCGATATGCCCAACAGTTTGTTGCCGTCACATAAACAATCGATTGTATTGTTTTTGGAACGTGTGTACGGCATCGATACACAAGAAGCGTTCTTTCGATTGCTAGAGGAAGCTTTCCTGCCGGATCTTCGTGCTGCAACCATGTTCGAAACAGGTGATTCATCTGGTAGCGATAGTGAAATGTCATTGGCGCTGAATCGTTACCTGGGAAATGCTGTGTTACCATTGTTGATCAAATATCATTACTACTTTGCCGATGCTGATAATTGGTCCAATCTATTGGATGCTTCTTTACACACCGTATATCGATTAGCTAAAGTGAAAATCCTGACCAAAGGTCAACGTGAAATTGTATCTGATTTCCTAGTAGCGTTGACCAAAGAAATGATGCCTTCAATGTTGCTGCGATTACTTCGAAAACTATGTGTCGATGTTTCGACCATTTCAGAATCGACAACAGTCGCTTATCGATTACTGACATTACACTATGAACGATGTGCTCGATACTATGGTGCTGGCGGTCAAGGAACCTACGGTACAGCTTCGGAAGAAGAACGTCGTTTAACCATGGTTTTGTTTTCCAACATTTTCGATTCACTAGCCAAAATGGAATACGATCCAGATTTGTTTGGACAAGCGTTGCCTTGTTTGACGGCCATCGCTAGTGCTTTACCACCAGATTATTCAATGCCAACAAATGCCAGTGAAGATGCTAGTTTCAAAACAGCACGTGCTGAATTTCCCTTATATTCCTGAACCGGTCGACATTTCACACGTAAATCCACCGCCCGATCTAATGAATTTGGTGCAGAAATTCTCTGAACATTATCATGACGCTTGGGCATGTAGAAAATTTGATCATGGATGGCAATTCGGTGAACAATGGGCATATAAAAAGACACATCCACGTCTCAAGCCATATCATATGCTCAACGAACGAGAAAAGGAATTGTACCGAGAACCGATACGAGATGCATTGAAAACATTGATGGCTTTAGGCTATACAATTGATCGATCCGATTCAGGAAGTGGAACATTGAGTAAACCACCGGTGCGCCACGAAACACAAGCAATGCATGCAACATCCATACAGGATTATAATCCACAACCAGTGGATATGACAAATTTAACATTAAATCGTGAAATGCAAACAATGGCCGAAAGATTGGCCGAAAATGCTCATGATATTTGGGCGAAAAGTGTCCGTGAACAAAGTCGAATGATGGGCGGTGGTATTATTCATCCACAAATGGTGCCATACGATTTGCTTACCGATCGAGAAAAGAAAAAGAATCGTGAACGATCACAGGAATTGTTGAAATTCTTGCAATTTGAAGGCTACAAAGTGTTCAAAAGTATGGAACGTAATCGAATGAATTCGATGACTGCGGCCGAAACACCGACGATTGCAATTCAACCAAATGAATGTCGATTTGCGTCATCATTGTTGGAGAAATTACTACAATACATGGACACTGCTTCAATCAGTCTACGGCTGTTGAAACCATCGGCCAATTTTAGCCGTAGATCATCATTCAAACAATCATCACGTGATGTGAAATTTTTCAGCAAAGTTGTCCTGCCATTGACGGAAAAATATTTCTCGGCTCAACGAATGTTTTTCCTGAATTCAATCACTTCAGGCAATGTTCAAACAGCCGCAGCAGGCGTTGCCACTGTACGTGAAAAAGAATTGGTCGCTAGTCTTTTCTGTAAATTGGCTGCATTTGTTCGTTCGAAACTTCCAGTGATTGGATCAGATGTCAAAACATGTGTCCGATGTTTACAGGTTTTGATTCAGGCCACTGATGCACGAACGATTGTTAAATATTCACCAGATTTTGTTAAAACTTCGATGCAAACATTTTTCAACCATGCTGCTGATGATCTGGCCAATTGTGTAATCAATCTACAGCAGGCAAAATTTCCATACATTCGTGGAACGGCCATGAAAACATCATCCTCATTGAATTCAATCCAATTGATGCTGTTGCCCGTACTGACTTCGTTGTTCGATCATTTGGCCGTTAATGAATTTGGTTCAGATTTGTTGGTCAATGATATTCAGGTGGCATGTTATAAAATGCTAAATTCGTTGTACATTCTTGGCACACGTCATAATCAACTGAATCTGGGTCGTCAATTTATTAAATACGAAATGAATCGACATCGAACAGCCATCGGTAATTGTTTGGCAGCTTTTGCCTTCGACTTTTCCGGTTGCCTTTTTAGAACCACATCTGAACAAACATAACAAATACTGTATACACGGTAAATCAGAAGAACATTCTCTTGAAGCATTAGAAGTTTTATCTGAACTTGGTGCATCGATGCCAACATTGGATGAACTGATTGGACAGATTGAGAAATTTGTGCAAAATGGTCGTTATGCGAATGAACCACATGTTGTCGATGTGATCATACCGATTGTATGTTCATATCTACCATTCTGGTGGTCACAAGGTCCTGATAATGTGAATGTTACTGGTGAGAATTATATTACCATGGTGACCACTGAACATCTGAACAGCATGTTCAAAACGATTCTGAATTTGATTGGAAACAATATCGGTGTTCGTAACGCCAATTGGATGACAACAATTGCCAGCCATGCTGGGCAGATCATCATCAACTCGTCCGATACATTGCTTGCCGATCCGATTCTTCCGTTAACAGAAAAGATTCATGCTCGAGCTGAATCAGCCTATCATAATGAAGATATGATGCGTGGTTTTCTTAAATCCAGTACCGAAGATACTGCCGATGCGGAAACACAAATTCAGGAAGAATTTGCCATACTAGCCCGTGACCTGTATGCATTGTATCCATTGCTCATCAAATATGTGGACATACAACGTGCTCATTGGTTGAAACAGAATAATCCACAAGCAGAACGTCTTTTCTATTGTGGTTCGACCATATTCAACATTTGGCTTAAATCCCAGTTCTTTCGGCGAGAAGAACAGAATTTCATTGCATCCAATGATATCGACAATATGGCATTGATTATGCCATCATCTGGTCGTGGTGGCCGTCTTAGTTCGAATGTGAAAGCCGACACTTCTCAGTCATCTTCATCGCGAAAAGTGAAAAAGAAACGTGACGGTAAACGTGATAAGGATAAAGAATTGGCCGCTAGTTTAATTGTTGCCTGTCTCAAACGGTTGCTGCCTGTTGGATTGAATTTATTTGCCGGTCGTGAACAGGAATTGGTTCAACATACGAAAGAAAAATTTCTGAAAAAATCACCCGAAGGTGATATATTCGAATATGTGAAAACACAGCTAACGTTACCAGATAAAATTGACCTAAGCGATGACATGTCCTGGCAACATTATCTTTACAGTAAATTAGGTTCGAAAAAACCAAATACAGCTGGCGATCTGGTTCCAGTGGATAAGGTTCCGGCGAAAGAAATGCAGATTACCGGCGATCAGCTGGTTGATCGAATCATTGAAATGGCCAAAGTTTTGTATGGTCTTCATATGGTATGTCAATCCATTTTAAGCTTGTGACTTTTTGGTCTGCGAATGTTTTTCCAAATGCAATTTGATGATGTTTTGCTTTGAATTTGTTTTTCTATTGAATCCTAATGTTTATCATCCCTTTGGTTTGATTGTTGTCATTGTTATCGTTATCTATAGATTGACCATCCATCAAGCAAAGAGAAAGGTGTTTGGCGAAGTTGTGTGTCGAGCCAAAGAAAACGAGCTGTCATCGCATGTTTTCGCATGACTTCCTTGCATTCATTGCCAAGGTATTTTATATTTATCTCATTCGAATTCATTATTTCCATCTTTTCCTGTATTTGTTTGTGTGTTTGTGTGTGTGTGTGTGTCTGTGTATATGCAATGTGTTTTTGTTCTAAAGAAACTAGAAACTAGCATGTTGTTTGATTTGGTCATTTTATCGTCATCGAATTGGATTTTAATTTCAATTTTTTTTCCAAAAATCAAAGATCAAACCGATTCAGAAAAACGATGGAAAATGTTTATTCACATTGAGTTTCTCTAAACGACGTGCAATCAAAAATTCAGTTCTTATGAATCATTTGGCGAAATTGCCCAGGTTTGGACCATCATCATTATTATACACACTGATACACAGACAATGCCGAAATTGCCTTTGAATTGTTCATTTTTTACTCAAAGTGTGGTGTTTATTAATTATAAATATTTTTTTATTTTTTATTTTTTTATTGTTTTGTCTGTCATAAATAGACATCGAGCGATGAACATATTTTTGAGAACCTATTCAGACATCTGGCTAGAAGTGGAAAATGTTGGTCATGAACAATTGATAGAAGACACAACTGAATCATTTGAAGAAGTGGAAACTAAAATTTCCGGTGACGAAGAAACATCGGACAAACATGATCCTATCGCTCAGTTGGCCACAGCATTCTCTCGTTCGGCCACCACTGAACATGGTGGTGCAATGAAAGAAGATATGCTTTACATGGATTATGCGTTCATTTTTGCACAAAGTTGTGGTGGTTCCGAAGAGGATGACGAAGAAGAAGGCGAAGATGGTGAAGAAGATGGCAGTTCGATCCATGAACAGGAGATGGAGAAACAGAAACTGTTGTTCCAACAACAACGACTCGAGAAACGTGGTGTGGCCGAAATGGTATTACTATACATCAGTGCTTGTCGTGGCATACCAAGCCCGATGGCGTTGAAAACATTGAAATTAGGCATCTCGATCCTGAAAGGTGGTAATGTCGACATTCAGATGCGAATGTTGAAACATCTGAAAGAGAAAAAAGATGTTGGCTTTTTCATATCGATTGCTGGTCTCATGAATTCCTGTTCTGTACTCGATCTGGATGCTTTCGAACGTACACAAAAAGCCGAAGGTTTAGGTGTTGGATCGGAAGGCACCACCGGTGAGAAGAATATGCATGATGCTGAATTCACCTGTGCACTGTTTCGGTTCATTCAGCTACTGTGTGAAGGTCATAATTTGGAATTCCAAAACTATCTACGAACACAGGCCGGCAACACGACCACAGTTAATGTTGTCATTGCAACGGTTGATTATCTGCTTCGATTGCAAGAATCGATCATGGATTTCTATTGGCATTATTCCAGCAAAGAAGTGATCGATCAATCTGGTATTGAAAATTTCGGCAAAGCAATCAATGTTGCCAAACAAGTATTCAGTACGTTGACCGAATCGATTCAAGGTCCGTGTACGATGAACCAACAAGCGTTAGCACATTCACGTCTCTGGGATGCTGTAGTTGGTTTTATGTTTTTGTTTGCTCATATGCAAAAGAAACTTTCGCAGAATTCATCTCAATTGGATTTATTGTTAATGTTGATGGATCTACAGACCGAAATGGTTATCCTCATGCTTTCCATGTTGGAAGGTAATGTCATGAACGGTACGATTGGCAAACAAATGGTCGACACTCTGGTCGAATCGGCTGCCAATGTGGAAATGATTTTGAAATTTTTCGACATTTTTTTGAAGCTCAAAGATTTCACTTCGTCATCTTCGTTTCAGGTGAGTGAATTGGTTGTGTTGAATAATTATTACATATGATGATGATTATGCTTTTACTTTTATAGGACTATGACAAACGAAACACTGGATGGATCCATGCAAAAGATTTCAGGAAAGCATTGCAACAACAAAAGATTTACAGTGACGAAGATATTGCCTTCCTTATGTCTTGTTGTGAACCAAATCATGATGGTTACCTGGATTATCGTGAATTCACCGAACGATTCCATAATCCAGCCAAGGATATTGGCTTCAATTTGGCTGTATTGTTGACCAACTTGTCTGAACATATGACCAATGATCCGAGGCTACAGCGATTCCTGGAGACGGCCAGTTCATTGTTGAGTTATTTCGAGAATTACCTTGGCCGTATCGAAATAATGGGCAGTTCAAAACGAATCGAAAGAGTTTATTTCGAAATTGCCGAAGAAACCATTCTACAGTGGGAAAAACCACAGATCAAAGAATCGAAACGGGCATTCTTCTATTCGATTGTCACTGAAGGTGGTGACAAAGAGAAACTCGAAGCATTCATTAATTTCTGTGAAGATGCTATATTTGAAATGCAACATGCAAGTAGCATTTCGATGGAAGAGGATGATGAGCCGAAAAAAGCTGGTTTGTATTGAAAATTTATATGTTGATATTTGTCTGATTGTGTTGTTCATATGGGATATTTTTTCAGAGGAATATCCTCATCCTGGAAGCGAAGAGAAACCATCATCATATCTGGATCCTGTCAAGAATGTTCTGGCAATCGTTTGGCTAAAAACATGTGCATTTTTCAGCTATTTAAAACCAAGTTTTCTTAAAAAACAATGGCAATCATTGACCGAGAAAACCTGGTTTGAACTGATATATGGATCGATCAAAATGTTGTTGAAAGGAACCTATCTGAGTATATGGTCAATCTATTATGTCAACAAAGTTGTGTTGAAAGTAATTCTCGAACTTATGTTGGGCAAATATAGTCTCGTCGAAGAAGAAGAGGAACCGATGGAAAAACCACCAACACTTCATTATGCACCAATGGTCGATGTACCACGTATGGCATTGATGAGTGCTGACGATCTGGTCAATGACAATGAACGACATACATCCGTTGCAGACATTCAACAATCCGATGAAGGCATCGTCGAAGATATTAGTGAGTAAAATTCTGTATTGTTAATTCATTTATTTCCATTCTGTTTTATTGTTTTCGTTTAGAAGACGAAACGGGGGCCGAACCAAGCGTAAAGGTAACATCATTGGATGACCATACAACCATCACGGAAGTATCGATACCAAGCGATGAACAATTGGATCATCATTCGGTAGAATTGCCATCATCATCATCATCATCTTCGAGTAAATCATCATCATCGACAGTGGCAGATGAGAAATCAGATTCGGAAAAATCAAAAAATGCTTTTAATTTTGGAAATTTGACCTCGCGATTCGTGTATGGTTTAGCACGAAATCTTTATACAATCAAAAAGATTGCCTTAGCCATGGCTTTTGTCATCAATCTAATGTTATTGTTCTACAAAGTTAGCAGTTATATTCCGGCAAGTGATGAGATAGCAGCCATAAGTGGCGAAGATGTTCTTGGATCAGGCGAACAAATGTCAACCAGTGGTGGTAGCGATGGGGGAGAAAGCGGAAGCAGTGAAGATGATGATGTGATTGAATTCATCAAGATTGAAGAAAGTTGGTACTATCTGGAGCCATTATTGAAAGGATTGGCTATGCTACATTCATTGTTATCGTTCTTTATGCTGATTGCATATTATAATCTCAAAGTTCCATTGATCATTTTCAAACGAGAAAAAGAGATTGCTCGTAATCTTGAATTCGAAGGTCTATACATCACCGAACAAGCAGAAGATAATTATCGTGCATATTGGGATAAATTGGTCATTTCGACCAGTTCGTTCCCAGTTAATTATTGGGACAAATTTGTCAAGAAACGAGTGCTGGCCAAATATGCCGAACAATATGATTATGATGCATTGAGCAAACTGATGGGCATTTCCAAAGGCTCAAATATGGATGAACCTCAGAATAGTGGTTTGCTATCGTTCATAACAAATTGTGATTGGCAATATCAGATCTGGAAGGTTGGCGTCACGTTCATGGACAATGTGAGTTACTGTTGCACACAACGTCATTGTCTAATAATTTGTCATTTTGTTTTGTTTTGTTTTGTTCAGGTATTCCTTTATAATCTTGGCTATTTCATTCTTTCGTTGATGGGCAATTTTAGTTACTTTTTCTTCGCTGCTCATCTTCTCGATATAGCCGTCGTTATTCCAACATTGAAAACAATTCTACAATCGGTCACTCATAATGGCAAACAATTAGTGTTGACCGTAATGTTATTGATTATTGTCGTCTACATTTACACAGTGATTGCCTTTAATTTTTTCCGTAAATTCTATGTTCAAGAAGAGGATGATCAAGTGGATCGAAAATGTCACAACATGCTAACGGTAATAATCATGATGATGATTGGTCAATGGATATTGGATATTAATGGATATTTGTTTTGTCCATTTGTTGTTGTGTTTAGTGTTTTGTGTTCCATCTTTATAAAGGTGTACGTGCTGGTGGTGGCATTGGCGATGAAATTGAACCACCCGATGGTGATGAATACGAAGTGTATCGTATCATATTTGACATTACTTTTTTCTTTTTTGTCATCATCATATTATTGGCCATTCTACAGGGTATGCTTTCTGTTGCAAATTGTTTGTCATTGATATACTGATTTAACCTTTCAATACAATACTCAGGTCTTATCATTGATGCTTTCGGTGAACTTCGTGATCAATTACAATCGGTTTCGGATGACATGGAATCCAATTGTTTCATTTGTGGCATAGGCAAAGATTATTTCGACACAGTGCCGCATGGTTTCGATACTCATGTGGCAAAAGAACATAACCTGGCCAATTATATGTTCTTTTTGATGCATTTAATCAATAAACCGGATACTGATTATACCGGACAAGAGACTTATGTTTGGGAATTGTATCAGAAACGTACTTGGGACTTTTTCCCAGTCGGTGAATGTTTCCGTAAACAGGAAGAAGAACTTAGTGCTGGCGGTGGTAAAGACAAAGACTAATGTGTTTATATATAATCTGCTCTTGAATTTGATTATTGTCCGAATAAAAAATAATGTTTCAAATCATTGACACTAGATAGCGATATAGTATTACATGAAAATTATTCTGTTATCGAGAAAGCAAGAAAAGAACCAAACGAAAAAATTTTGAATTCCAATGGTCATTTGTTGTTGTTTATTAATGAATTGCTTCACATTCACATGCCTGAACATTGTACAGGTGTATGTGGTAATTTCATCGTGGTGTTTTTTTTTTTTCTTTGTTTCATGAAATGCAAACCATAACCTTTTCTCTTTTTTCAACGTAATATATTGTTTTAGATTTATGTGATTTCATTTTTCTCTCTCTCTCTCTCACACGAACAATTCTCGACTTTTGCTGATTCTTGGTTTTTGTTTACCTATGCTTGAATAACTTTATAAATTATTCGTAATGTGTTTCAGAATTAATACACAAGGAATTGGATTGAATTAACGCATCACAGTGATGGCAAGGTATATGAAGCGAATGGAATGATTGAGTAAATGATGAGCTGTGCTTTGGCATAGAATCTATGGAATATTAATAATTTCTGGAATCCTTATACTATTACACTGGTTATTCTTTTTACTGTGCATGCATCAATTCATTCGATATTCGATATGGCCATGGTCATGATTCTCTTAGTGTAGTTGATGTTGATGTTGTATGGTGGTCGTCTTCGTTGTGATCATGACCGTATACGCTGCTATATGATCTATCAGAATCGTTGGTGATGATGTCCACATGACAATATTTTCTTCTGGTCGTCGTCATTGAACTCTGAACATGAAATAAATGCAACAACATGAAATGGAACTCGCTCGTGTGTTTGTGTGTGTGTGTGGCAGTGGTCTGTTCTAAATTCAGTACAGACAATCGACAATAGATCCAAAACAAACGCATGAATTCTTTCACAGATGGATACAGCAGCAGTGAGAGATAGAGTCATAAATTGGATGTTGAAACCAAATTCTGCTTCTGCTCCAGTAATCTTTGCAGCAATTCAATAGTGTGATACGTTTTTTTCAGCTTGATTATTATGACGTACTGACGCATTGATTAAATTATTTTCATTTCAACATTTAAACCATTATCAACATCAGCAGCCATGTCCATGCCACCATCAATCAATAGAGGAATGATTTGTAGCATCCATTTGAATAACTTTGAATCAACATGAATGTATCAAAGTGCAACCACTAGAAAGGCAAACCATGTTGCCCATGACCAGAAAAACATGCAAACATTATATTAATAGTTTTGTGATGGGTTTATTTGTTGTTCATTTTTGTGGCTGTCAATTTTCATGTTCACGACCAATTTAACTAGAATCGGAATTCATTTTGATTGTATCCAACGATTTCCGGCCTCTTTTTTTTCTGTCTAATTCATATAGTGTGATTAAACATTCAGGATTCATTTTTGGAGTCACAACAATCATAATTGTGTTCATTGTGTTTATTTCTATTCATGATAATCATCTTGTTTGCCAAACTAAATAAACTAATCAATCATCAATCATTTTATTTGGTGTGAGTGTAAAATCCTAAAATCATTAAATCGATTTTTAGCCATTTTCCGGTTTTTGTTGTTGCTCAGTGAAAAATGTCACGAGGGTCTTTCATATAGTGCAATTGATGAACAAGAGCTTATTTTAGTTGATTTATTTATTTTTGATGATCATATGTGTGTGTGTGATTGGCATTGATTCATTCATCCACATCGATGGCAAAGAATGAAACTATTCAAGCATAGATCAGCAACGTTTGTTTAGTACTGTTGTATAATTGTCATTCACTCGTACATTGTGATTCTCATCATCATCATCATCATTGGACGATTAACCCTAAATTGAGGAATAATAAATCCATTGCTGTACCTGTGTTGATATGAATATTAATCACATTCATAATGGAGGTAGTCATCCTTACAACTTAATTTCTTCAACCAATGAATGAATGTCTAATGAGAAACATGATGAACGAAAGAAGGGGAGAGAAAACGAGAAGCGAAAAACGAAATGCAGCCGACATAAGAATATGAACATACGAGAGCTTGTCACCCTCCTTTGTGCCAATGAACCAAATGTTGAATCGACCAGAACAACTAAATCGACCTACCAACCATGCAAGCGCTCAACCAACACACAACATTAGTCTTTTCTCTTCAATTCATCTTGGTGATCAACAGGCACAAAGAAAAACTAGTTTTTTCATTATGGCTCGAACCTGGAATTTTTTTTATGTTTATTCAGTATGATATATCATACCTGTAGTTGTGTATTGCTGTTGTTCGACCATTGACAACAACAACAACAACAACAAGTTTTATGGTCAATTGTGCTCATCATCCAAAGTACATGGATTCAACGACCCTCAAAATTGGAATTTGATTCTTATTCTTCATTCGGACATTATTTCTTCATTTAGTCAATCATTGTGTTTTCGTTTGTGTTTGTGTGTGTGTTTAAAAAATTTCATCCAATGATTCTTCCTGTTCGTCATCATATATAATGATTATAACCCTTTTGTTCAGCCGAATGGAATCGGATTTTGTGTTTCACCGGAATGATTAGAAATATTGCAACACAAATACAAAAGAATTAAGAAAAAACATCTCTCATACAAAATTGTGCAATCCCAATTATCATCCCACACTCATCATCATTAAAGGTACCGTATTCGTTATCATTATTAGTTTGTTAATATCTAGATTCTAGATTCTAGAAAGAATCCATTGGTACAATGAACTCACTCCCTCACTTGACGAAATCAAACAATCCATTCCCTTGTGTGTATGTGTGTGTGTGGTGTGTTCATTTTCAAACAAAAGTTGAATCTAAAAGTGATTATAATCTTTTTTGGTGGTTTCATTATTATTTCAACTTAATCTTGATTCTTGATCATTATTATTCAAATTGTAGAGAGGTTGTAATTTTGCCATTTTTGTTTCATTAGAATTGGTTTGATTTGTTCTGTTTGGATAGATTTTCCTATTCTTGTTGACCAATTTGTGCATCACCCTTGTTGGATTGTTGGCGATGTTTTAATACATTATGATGACGAACTTTGTCATTTATTTATCTATTTATTTGTGTGGTTTGACATTTCAAAAAATAATGGTAATTTGTGCTTGGTTTGTTTCATTCATTCGATTTGTTCAAACAAATAAATGGTTATTGTATTGTAATAGAAAAAAACATAGACTGACACAATGATATTTTTGGTGGTGAAAATGTCAGATACTTTGTGATGAAATTAAAATTATTATCACCAACAATATTGAACCATGCAAATGTATGATTGCCAAGATGAATTGAAATAGAAATTCAGTTGTATGGCAATGACTTTTGTAACCATTTTGGAACACGGATAATTTCTATTTGAAAATGTCAAATGTGTACTGTTTAAAAAAATAAAGCGATCATCATCATGACGTATGAATAATCAATGTTAAATCGATCGATTGATCAAATCGACTTTTATTATTATTCAATGATATGGCAACAATGGCAGAAAAATTGAAATTTAATCAAAAATTGCCGTAGATAAAAGAATTCTCTATGTTTCTCTCTTTTGGATCATCATCAATAATTGATTTTTGAAACATCGTTTTTCCATTTCATCACATGATTGATTGCTTATTTTTCATTCGATTTTTTTTGTCATGAATCACTTTATCACTTTATTTATATATAGTCGATATACAATTTCAACTCTACACGACTACAAAACTTCAAGTTCAAGAATTGTATTTGATAGAAAAGTATCATTGTTTTGATCTGGAAAACTTGTGGAAAAGTTGAACAATTGAACAAACACTTTTATTTTTTTAATTAATTATTTGTGTGGGTGATGAATGTGTTTGTGTGTGTGTGTGTGTGTTTGTAATCTACATTTGATCATCATCACGATATTGTTGATTGAGCATTGATTATGGCATCATGATGATGATGGCCATTACATGAACAGTGTTTAACGAAACAAAACTTTTCTCTCTCTCATTGGTTGTTGTTTTGTTTTTGTTGGTTTTTCCACATTCTTTTATGGCTGTATGGGCTTTATTAGTTGTTTGTACATGTTGTTGATAATCTCATAAAACTTTATATCATTTGAACATTCAGATAGAAAGAGAGAGAAATGTCCGTTTTTTTTAGTTTGTTCAAAAGATGGTGACACTTGTCGAAAATCGGTAAAAATATTTATCATCCAACCTAGTTTAGTCAAATAAGCGTGTGTGTTTCAGTTTTCATTGTCATCTAAATTGGTATGTGTGTTTTTTGGAATAAATTTACATCCCTGAAATTCATTGGCATTCAAATAATAATGATGTCAAGAATGCCGTATAAGATCACAATGTGTCATTTCTATGCGTCCATCTATCCATCCATCCATCCATTTATCGATCGATCGATCGATCGCATTTCATTCATCCGTCTGGATTGCAATAATGCATGATGATGGGCTGTACACAAGAACAAGTGTGCGCATAAATAAACATTTTCCTCGGAAAAAAGCCGGCAAAAATTTGGACAAATTCTCGTTTCATTCACAGTGATGATGATGAGGCCATTATTATATTATAATATATGGTCCACACATCGTTCCAGCACACAACATTGAATTAGTAAAATTTGAATTTTCATGTTTTATCTCTTGGTTTTTTGAGAATCTGAATTGAATTTTAAAATTGTGTCGTTGGTTGTATGAAAGGATTTGATTAAATTATATGGTGGCCATAGTTTTGGTCGTGGCAGGCTTATGGATGGGCGGCAATGTTTTCCATCTACATTTCGATATTTTCATTTTGTTCCATTTGGGAGTAATTTTCTTTCTCGTTGCTGAGCCAATGAATAAATCATCAATCGATGCGACGATCGATTCTGTATCATGTCCACATACAACAACACAAACACAAACAGCCACCTTGAAATTATTTGATCATCAACGTTGTTGTTGTTGTTTGTTTGTTTGTTTGTTACAATCAACGATAATAATATATCATCATGACAATTCATAAATCGACCGGTTTCAATTGCCAAAATGTTGACTATGAGAATGGATGCAGAATACATTCTCCCCTGTATTATGTTTCATTTCGTTTCGTTTCAATAAAATGTATCGTGTATGCTTCCATCCACCACATGATATCCATTTTCAGGATGTGTGATGTGTGTGTGGTGGATTTACGGTTATGACGGCATTTAGCAGACTCTAGATTTGATTGAATAAGAAATGTGAATCCATTCCGAGGATTGTTTTGACGATTATGATGGCACACAATGCAGCAAACAAGGCATGCTATATGTCTATGTGTATGTGTCAATAATCCTCAATGATGAATGGTTTTAGATTTCTTGGATTTTTCTTTTGCCCGATTCCCGTTGCTTTCGAATATGAAACGAAAACTTAATTTTTATCCTAAGGTCCTATCTGTCTACTTTTATGGATCAAGTATGTGTGTTGAAGATGTATGAGACCATCTGCATTTGTTTCTTTCAATGATTTGGATTTTTTTCGTTAGTTCCTGCTCATGGAATATTCAAGTTGATCTTGGTTTTCTCGCTTAAATGATTCTTCATAAACAAATGATCATTCTTCACACACACACACAGTCACACTGATCCAGATGATGTGAAAAAGCAATTGAAATATCTTTGTTATAGTTTAATGATATGTCGAATTTTTCTTTGCTTTCTCAATTTTAATATGTTCCTGCAAACGATTCGATTTTTTTTTCTCATGAAATTTCCTCAGAACCTTAGAATCTGTGGGTGTGTGTGTTAACTGGTTTCGTTTTTAATTTCCTGTTCAATGTTCAGTGAGGTAATGTTTTTTCTCTTGTTTCCTTGTTCTTGATTCTGTAGAATGGTTGCAATGGGAATAAAGTCAATTTTGATTGTTCAGCATGATTCATATTGCTTCTGTGCAAATACAACAAAAGAACACGAAAAGTGATAATTTCTACTTGCAAAAGAAAAAAATCTGCATAGAAAGCATCTTTATTTAATTATTTCCGATTTTCCTGGATCTAAATCAATGGCGTTTTTTTTCTCATTCATCGCACATTGTGTTATGGATGAATTAAGTTGATTAAAACGATGATGATGTTGATGATGATGATGCGATTGCTATTCATACGATTGACCATTGGAAATGATTGAATTATCATCAGATGTTTATGCTAAGCATCATAAAATGTGTGTGTAATATATCCATTTAATATCCATTCTGCAATGATGATAATAATCATTACACAGAATGTCTGTCTGTCATTATGATCATGATCACAATTCACTCATCCAGTAAATTTTAATGAATGGTTGTTGTTGAATAAAATACAACCATTATGTGATAATGAACATTTGCTTCGACAGTGATAATTAAATCATCGACAATGACGTGATGGCCGTTCATTCATTCATTCACTGAGTAGTGTTTTGTGATAATTAATAGCGAGTATTTTTTTCAATTCATTATCGATTGCATTTATGCTAATGCTAACAACATATAATCATAAAAAACGTAATTTAACGTATGTAAAATTACGTTTTATTTAACACCAACTTGGCCATCAACTGCAACAAGGCCATGTTGTTCATGATTCGATCCACTCGTTTCAGACCCCGGAATGAAAGTTTCAAACTGCAATTTGAATAATTAGATGCTCCTATTTAATTGTTTCAAGGATTCATTATTTGTTGTTGATGAAATTTCTTAAACCATAGGAAATCGATCGATCGGTCATTGTTTTGAATCCTTGGATAAAGTTCATTCCTTCATTCGTTCACTATTCATGGACAAGGACTTTTCCACATCACATCAGTGGCTTTATCCTTGCAAGGAACAGGATGTGTTGATATCCTTAACGAGTGTGAGCCAAATGTGTCGATATTTCTTCCCACAAGTGGCTCGTCCTTGATTCGGCTGTATTCTAAAAAAAGTTGAACAATGTTTTAATGTTTCACTCAATGTAACGGATCTTTGCTTTCTCTGTCAATGTCATCATTAGTATCGTAGATCATTGAATTTTTGTACATTCACCTTCATTTGTGGTTTTCTTGATTGTTATCTTTCTCTTTTCTAATCGATTTGATTTCAACCTCCACTACGTTCATTGTTATAATTTTGATGTTGTTGTTGTTCTGTAACTCAGCAAGGAACAAGACTTGCAATAATCATTGTTGTCCTTATTGTGAGTTTTTTCAGTGAATTCATAACTTGTAAAATTGAAATACTTGCCACAACCGATAATGGCGGCAAAAGAAAGTTTTTTAAAAAAAAATACAACTGGATCGAATCAGATAGAGAGAGAGAAAAAGAATGTTTTTTTTGGTTATGGAGAGAAAGACTTGATGATTATGATTCACCCGAATTGTTATCGCGTTATTCAATCATCGTTTCGATTGGTCTGTGTTTGTGTTTGGCTGTAATTGAAAAAAGAAAGTTTCAAAGATTCAATCATTTGTTTTGTTGCTGTTTGTGATTAATAATCGATTGTGATTCAATGAGATTGTGTCATTATGATGGACCATAATAATAATAATAATAGTAGTAGTAGTAGTAATAGTAGTAGTGATGTTGTTTGTGACAATTGTTCATATTGTGATTATTTGACCGATTTTTCGCCAATCAATATCGATTCAACGGTGCTGCCATCAAAATTGTGTGAA